ATGATTGCAAATAATTGAAAACGATTTATAGCTTTCAAAAAGTTTTTGAAAAAAGTATAAGGGTGAGTTATAATGCATACAATATTTTAGATTAAAAATAAAATTGATAACCAACATATATAAATTCATACACATACTTTAAATACATAAACTAAGGGTGTTAATAAAAGACACGATCCGAATCCTAACTATAAGTTTTGGGTTCAGATTGATCAGTTTAAGAAAATGGGTCAAATTCAAATCAACTCATTCAAAATTAACCAAATTTGACCCGCTTCACTTGATTTGCATTTCAATTTCGCACGGTTATACGATCACGAATTCAGAATTCAAATTCACGACAATGGCATCTCAACCGTTGGCTTTAGCCTTTAATATAATATGAATATAATGCGCAAATCGCGATTCATTCTGTCCTAACCTGAAATTTTCGGGTCGGATTCGAGTTGAATTTTCAGGTCGTGTCAAATATTAACACCCCTACTAGATGCTCCTTGCCATTCGCCTCCTCCTTCCATCTCCATAGTCCATACTCATTCCTCCTCTTTCCAGCAGCCGTACATCGGACGCGCCTGGCCATTTGCCCGCAGGCCCGCAGCAGTTGCTGTTCCAATAAGACCCCTCCTCCTGCTGCAGACCATCAAGTTCTCATACAACCCAACTTCAAATCCTGCTAATATTTGTTCTCAGAGGCACCCTTGTTATCTAAAATCTGAAATGAAATGCATGATTCTAGCTATATGCTAAATTTTTTATTAAAAAATATTTCACCTGTGCTTTGGAGCTTTGGCCTTTTTGTGTTCATTGCCATGCTCTGATATCTGAATCAGGTTGCAGATTCTAATTGATTTTTAAATCCCACTGTTGATGAAATATTGTATGAATTCCAAGTAGTTATTAGGATTTTTTAAGCTTATTATATTCTACTGATATCACTTAATTTGTCTGATGAGCAACATATACAACACTACATTCTGCGCATTTGAAAGCCATCATTAATTTCTTGTACCTTTCCAGTTGTTGAATTCAAACTACTTGTGTGTTGGTGATTTACTGTAAATCAATATAAATAAAAATAAAATTAATTGCAATATTGTATATTGCTTCTTTTAAAAAAAAAAAAAATGAGTTAGCGGGTCGGATCAGGTCAAAACGGGTTCAGATTGGGTGGGGTTTGAATTTATGATTTTGACATGTTTGTTAAATGGGTCGGGTTAATTTAGTGTGGGTCAACTACGGGTCAGACTTGAACCCGACCAAAAACACGTTTTGACACCTGTAACATAAACCTCCAATCTGTGATTGATATAACACCAAAAAATCCACCATATTGAGCATGATTTTCAATGCATATTGAAATTGAAAATTCTCATAATTTTATGATCATTCGAAATTTGATTTGAGTAAACTTATAATCAAGTTAGAATTTGCTTCATATCCTAAAAAAATTTCAAGCACATCCGAACAGTTTTCTTACTGCTTCTTAAAGCAGTTTTCTAGCATCAAAATTAAAATTTTTGTACTAAAAAGTTATTTTACAAAGCGGTAAGAAAGCCATCTCAAACAAGACATAAGTCTCTCTTGGATTTCATCCACCCAAATAAGGAATGAAAAAAAAAAATCAGAACTCATGAAGTTAATGATACTTATATTTCATTAGAAAATTTTGTGGGATGTTAAGCTTGTACCTGAATCCCAACCAAACCTTTTAAACTTATGAAATCCCCTAATATTAGATATTATTAGGACATCTCCCATCTGCCTTCCAATATTCTGAAAGGTCTCTTTCTTGACGTGCTGGAGTTCAACAAAGCCCTCCAAATCATTATTAACAAAAATTTTAGTGACAACATAGTTTTGATGTTCATAAAGTTCCTCTTCCCAAATTACTTTGATGATGAAATTTCAAACTTCTACTTAACAAACAAACATAAACAATGAAACCATTCACCATATCCTTAGTGATTTATATATTGGATTTATTTTAAGATGAGTGTAATATATATTCTTATTGATTCTCTATATATGTTAAACTCATCTAAAAGTCGATCCAATAGCTTTGAGACCCATTGTGCTGACATTTAGGTTTCGTTTGGGATAGCTTCCTTACTGTTTCTTAAAGCAGTTTTTTAATACAAAATTTTTAATTTTTGTACTAAAAATCTGCTTTAAGAAGCGGTAAGAATGCTGTCCCAAATGAATCCTTAGTGAGCATATTCTTAACAAAAATTTTCTCCTTTTAAATTGTTATCAGTGAGTGAGTGAATCAAATGAGAATCGAATATGGACTAAATACGTTACTGGTTAAACATATTTCAATTGAAAAGTTTAAACTTATGAGTATGAGCAAACTATTTGTTATTTCTATACTATTATATTTTTCAACTATATGATGCAATTAGTGCCGCACAAATATTAATAATTTATTCTTCACATGGTCGCAGCTTTCAACATTAGTCATTATTCCTGCTCAAATAGAAGTATTTTTTAATATCAATAACAGACATACTATATCATATCTTCTTCATCTATGAAGAAAATGATTTAATGTTCTCACTCTATAGGTTGTCTTGATCAACTCATTTAAGCCGTAATTGATGTAAGTGACCTATCAATAGTGCATTACGAGCACACCAATGATAAAGTTCTGAGCGTTACGAGCACCAATGATAAAAAATCTAAAGATCAGAATTGTCTAAACAATTTTGGAAGTCTTACCAGATTGAATTTAAAGCTTGTGAGATTGTCTGAACGGAGAAGAAGAATAGAAACGGAACCAGGCTTTCTTGAAGCCGTAGACAGCAAGAAGATAAGGAGGAAATAAACTTTTCATTGCATTAAACTAAAGGTTACAGAGTATATTATATAGACAGTATTTGATAAAGAAAGTACAGAATGCCTAATGGTATAATAGTGAGCCATTGTGATGTTGCCACGTGTACGGTGGCTTAACCGCCCCCCTCAAACTTATGGGTTCGTAGAGCTGTAAGTTTGGTTGAGAGATTTTTGAATCTTGTATTTGGCAGTGGTTTGGTGAAGACATCGGCAATTTGGTCGTCGGTACAGATATGATGCACCGAAATTTGTTTTTTCTTGATGCAATCTCGGATGAAGTGGCACAAATATGTGCTTTGTTCGAGCGTGGAAGATCGGGTTATTGGCAAGTGCTATGACTAAAGTATTGTCGCAGAAAACCGTTGTGGGTTCTGTTTGTGTTGTATGAAAATCGTCCAAGAGTTGGCGGAGCCATATGATTTCTGAAGCTTCGGAAGCAAGGGCCCTGTATTCCGCTTCGGTGGATCGAGGACCTAGCCGTAGTATTCTGTTTCTTGTTGCCATGAGATGATAGAGTTACCGAGAAAGTTGCAGTACCCGGAGATTGATTTGCGATCTTGCTGGCTGCTTGCCCAATCTTGCGTCGACATACCCTCGTAGAGTTAAATTGGTGTGGTTGAGAGGAATGCTTGTGTCGGACGAACCATGAATGTAGCGGAGGAGGCGCTTGAGTGAGTCATAGTGAGTGATGAGAGGACTTTGCATATGTTGACATAATTGTTGTACAGCGAATTGAATGTCAGGTCGGGCGATAGTTAAGTTGTTAGCCTATGTACACATTACTGCTGGTCCCCTTACTTGGTTCCTTTCCTAAGTGTTGTTAGTCTATGCTGCAAGGTCTTACTTTTGTAGTTTATAAATACCTCTACTTAGTCTTGTAACAGATAAGACAATTCAATACAATTACATTTCGTTTCTTTCTCCGATACGTCGGGGGTCCAAGTGGGTAGTGCCCCTTGACGGGGTTTGACCTATCCGGTCAGGTCGCTAGGTCAAGGGGCAACGCCCTTACGGGGGTTTCCGAGGGAAGCGCCCCGAAACAAATTTTTGTTGTAAGAATTTTTTTGAAATTGAAATTAATAAATAAAATGGTGAATTGAAATTAATATTTATATTTTTATGATGATAAATTAAATAATTTATTGATGAAATAAATTATAATATATATTATCTAAATTTTAACAATTAATTATTTAAATAAAACTATACATTAAGGGGTTGTTTGATATGCAGAATTATGAGGGTAAAGTAAAACAGTTACACGTATTTATTAAATTCAGTTGTTTGGTTAATTTTGAGCGGAACAAAAAGAAATCCTCCTAACATGTATTACAAAAGCGTTTCGTGCGAATTAGAAACCCGCTCATATTGAGCAGGGGTTTTAATTTCTCCCGATGAAGAAATCATTCGCATCGTCGTTGCTGTTCGGCTTCATTGCTTCGCAGGAGGTGTAAGATTGCACGAGTGGCTTCTTCGGCTCCTTCGTTCTTGTGCGACTTCGCTCCTTCGATGACTTTCCCTTTGCCTGTCGGATCAGAAGTTGCGACATTTTCATCGGAAGTAAGGACAAAAGATCGCAAGTTCTGAAGGTAACTTTCTCCCTTTCGCGCGCTTCTTCGGCCAAATCCCGTCAATCCTTAGAACTACAGGATTTGATAAAAAATCCATATTTTGATGCCAACCCTAAACCTAACTACCAATGTGCCAGTGGACGTTGTGGTGGCCTCCGATGTGCTTAAGGATGCCACCAAAATCGTCGCCAAGACCATCGGCAAGCCAAAATATGTAAGTTCTTTTCAAGTCCGCCTTTTTCCATGTCAGATGCCAAGTGTTCGGCGAAATCAGTCAAAGAAACATTTTTGTTTTTAATTTTCCTGCAGTGTCAATTTTGCAAAGCATTGTTTGAATTCATGGAAATGCAATGAAATTGAAACAATTTTTGGTTGATTATGAATCTGCAACTATTGGTTTGAAATTCTTATGAAGTACTATGTTTGTAATGGCCCATTTATTTACTTGTCTAATGCCAGGTGGTGTCAGAGAAAATCACTCAAAGAAACTTTTTTTTTTTTTTTGCAGATTCTTTAGTGATTTTATTGCAGTGTCAATTTAGCTTTGTATGGATTGAAGTAAATGCAATGAAATTGAAACAATTTTTGGTTGATTATTTAAGTGCAGCCATCGGTTAGGTTTAGGTTTGGCATCTATGTAAAGATTTGTCGAGATGACAATTATTTTCATGGATAGATGCCTTTGGTTCACTCATATAAATAATCTCCTCAAGATCTCCATGTAGAAAACTAATTATTACATGTTCAAATTATTGATCATACAATACTACTAGAGGCAATATTATGATAATCAAAGTATGCTTAACAACATGAGTGAAAATCTCTTTTAAAGTTTTTCCTTCTTTATAAGTGAATCCCTTTATCAGTAATATTGCCTTATTTAACTTGTTCAACATATGAAATTCCATATTTCCTTTTTAATATCCACCTATAGCCACAACTGTTTTGTTATGTGGTATTTCCAGAAGTTCTTATGTTCTATTTTTTTTTCCAATGATCTCATTTCTACATGAATAATTTATTTTCAAAAAATACTCTCATCATTGTTTATCATTTCTTTATATGATCTTGGCTCATACTCAAATTTTCATCCATGATTGAGAACTTTGTTTTAATTTAATCTATGGTTGAGAACTTTGTTCTTGCTAAAATCCAAGTTTCCTGAATTTAAACTTGTACTGTGAGTCTTTGACTTGTAGGATTAAGAGAAATTATTTAGTTTTGAATTTTTGGGTTATAAATATGATTCTTGTGATATGTAAAATTCATTAATTATTTTACAACAATATATGTTTTCTCTTTGTTCTTGTGTTTTTGAAGATGTGAATTCTTTGACTGCTTACAAGTTTTGATGCCAACTTTGTAAGTATACTTGGTCTATTCCTAGTATGAGTTGTGGATTTCTTATTTGGTGATCTCTATCTTTGTTCCATCATCTAAACTAATTTGTGATTGTTTTATTTGTGTGATAGAGGATTTATCATATTCATTACAACATTGATTTTTATATTCATACTGTGAATTTAGATCATTGCAGAATTTTATATTGGTTCTTAAATTTATTGTGGAATTATAGATTCGGAGACTTTTTTATATTATTATGTGGAATGGATGAAATCTATTTTCTAGGATCCAGCTGTAGCTACTGGAATTTATGATCTTGTATATGAATTTGAAGCCCAACTTCTAGAAACTAGCTCTCTGGTATATTGGCTTTTATATAGTATCATTTCACTTAGCACTATTCTTCCCCCTCTATATTCACGAACGATTAAAAGATCGTGCCATGTTCTCTCGGTAAAGTTGTCGTGGTCGAACGACAGGGGTCTTCACGGCTTTTTGTATTCATATTTACATGCATAGCTATCATTTATGGTTCTTTAATATTCATATTTACCTGTTCTATAACAGGTGGAATCTCCTAACCAAGCATCAATATTTCATGAATCCAAAGTTCATGATGATGAAATTTCAATGTCCGAGCCACCAGCAGTTACTTGCAATGGTTCAAAAGCTGGGTTTGCAAAGCTAAGTAAATATGAGAGCAAAAACTACAGCAGAAATCACCATGGTTTTTCACAAGATGCATAAAATGGGGATCTTCCCCCAAAATTCTCACAAACTAAACATAGATCGCTCAGATGGATTCCCAATCATGCTGAAGAAGACACTGATAAAAGTGCCTCTGAAGATTCAGAAGAACTTTGCAAGGAAGTTAGGTGTATTGAAATGGATGGAACCAGCCAAAGAGAAAACTTGAATTTGACATTCCCAGGAGTAAGCTACTCACCTGGGTTTGCAGAACCAGAGCAGTACGACTTTACACCCCCTCCCAGCTCACTGAGAGATTTCCCTGGAAGGCCTCGGGCATTGCTAAATTATAATGCTGAAAATGGAAACTTTTCAAGAGATAGATCTGTTATGTTAGAGGGTAGTGTTTCTGAAAGCTTGCTTAAAGAGCAAGATGATATTTCTTCTTCTAGAGAAGGCATAACCACCATCCAGGACTTTGTTTCAGGATTGAAAGAGATGGTTCAGGTTCATCAAAATCAGCTTGTTGATGGTCAGGTGTGATAACAACCATTTCTTTATAAGTTTCCATTTTTATGTCCTTATCCCTTTATATCTTTTTCATTGCTGATTCCAATTTGCCCTGATCAGACTGCCAGTGAAGTGTGTGGAGCTGAAGGAACAGGGAAGAGTGTTGGCCTTGATACTATCCTAGACCCAGTGGATTCTCCATCCCATTGGCCACGGGACTTTGAGAAGAAGCAACAAGAGATAATCAAACTCTGGCATGAATGCAACGTTTCCTTGATCCACAGAACATACTTTTACTTGCTCTTCAAAGGCGACTCTGCTGATTACATTTACATGGAAGTTGAGCTCAGGAGACTAGCTTTCCTGAAAAGAACATTCTCGCAGGAAAACTCTTACAGAATATGGGGCGGGACCGGTCGGCTTGTGACTCTAGAATCAAGGTATGAAACTGCTTATATGTCTGTTAAAGTTCATAAACTAAAGCAAATGTTGTGATTGAACTGTTATCTTCTTTCAAAATAAGTGGACTTGCTTACTGAAATGCAGTGAAGACCCCTTAGGTCTCATTTGTCTGTTTGAAGTTAGGAAACATGTTTTGCAAAACGGTAAATTTACTAGATTCCATTACTTGTTTGTATGTAGTTAGATATCAAGATGTATTTTGTATTTTCTATTATTATTATTATTATTGTTATTGTAATTATCTGCATTGTTGTCAAAATATTTCTACATGATTTCCAGTATGCATTCATTCTATGGAATCGTCTGAATCTAAAATTTATTTCATCTAGCAAAGCTTACAACTGAAGATTGGATGGAGTGCTTTTCTCTTCCGACTGCAGAAGCTTTGGTGTGACTTGAAGTATTATTATTATTATTATTTCTTTTGTTTCCTTGAGATTTTACTCCATATTCATAGAATGATAGCAAATAATGTTCCTTTTTTAAATAATTTACTTAAAATTTTGTAGGGAGGCGATCAATCAGTAGAGCATCTATCATATTTTTATGAACTTTGCTTTGAGGAAGATATGATGCCAAGCAGTATGCAAGTTCCCTACAATTTTACCTTGAATTATCTCGGAATTGCTGAAATATTCTAGTAATCTTGTTTATAAAATTTTTATGTAGGGCTTGCCTACTTGTACTCCAAGTTGAAGTTCTTTGCATCCGAAATGTGTATTGATGGATATGGAGCTAGATCTCACACTGCAGCAGTACAAGATATTGATTGGTGTTAGTATTGCTACAAATTAATGTTGTCATTTACCTTTGATAGAGTTGATTTTGTAATTTTATATTTATTTACACAAAATTTAATGAAAGATTTTTATGTTAACTAGTTGTTATCATTTTGTAAACATTAAGATTTTATGATTAATGATTTCTGAGATCACATTTTTTATGTTAATTATTTGATGTATTTGTAAAAGTATATTAATGAATATAATTTTCATTTTCTCATAGCAAATTCTTGACAATGATACTGCCGTATGAATATAATTTTTTGTATTATATGTTTTTTATTATTGTTACCTCAAGCTAAAAAAATGTGTTATTTCTCTATTATTAAATTTATCTAACTAATTGTAACATAAATGAGTGATGGATTGATCTTATTTCTTATTGCTAAGGCATAATAATTGGTTAATAATTATTTACAAAATATAATAAATTTTCTATCCATAAATATATATCAAAACCTAATGAAATTAAAGGAATAAAATTAAAGGGGCATGTGATTTATTTGGTTGATCATTTTGCGACCAATTTTTTATTTTGGTCGCTACAGAAAAAATGTATTAAAGAAAATTAATTATCAAAATTACTAAATAGCATCAAAATAAATATTCATTAGCGTAAAAAAAATGGCCGCGCTAATATGTCTAATTTTAGCGACCAATACTAATTAGTGGTCGCTAATTTAGCAACCAAAAAAATTTTTTTGTCGCTAAAAGCCTCAGCGACGAGGCTACTGCGACAAATTAGCGACCCAAATTTTTTTTGTCGCTATTTGCTTTAGCATCCAAATTAACATTTTTAGCGACCATTTTTGTTGGTCGCTATTGACCCATTTTCTTGTAGCGCGGTGTAGATTAGTTAACAATTTAGTCATTTCAGATTGGGAATTACCTGTGAGCAAGATGTCGTCGACGTATATGAGCATGTATATGCGAGTTGAGCCGGATTTGTATGAGAGTAACGAGTGGTCGCGGATGTGCTGATTTTGAAGTCGTAGGTGAGTAGGTGGTTGGAGAGGGTAGCATACCACTCCCTTGGCGATTGTTTGAGACCGTAGAGAGCTTTCTTAAGTTTGCAAATGTGTCCGGGATGTATTGAGTCTTGGAATCCCGGTGGTTGAGACATGTATACGGTGTCGGACAGTGTGGCGTGGAGGAAAGCATTGGAGACGTCGAGCTGATGGATGGTCCAGTTGTGATGAAGAGCGAGGAGTATGAGAACGCATATGGTTGGCATCTTGGCGACTGGACTGAATGTTTCGTTGTAGTCTATGCATTGTTCTTGGTTGAAGCCTTTGGCGACCAAGCGTGCTTTAATTTGTGTCTGGCAATTGTCCCGTCGGAGTTATACTTAGTGCGGAAGGTCCATTTTGAGCCGAGGATGTTCATTGAGGGATGAGGTGGGACGAGCTCCCAAGTGCCATGTGCTTGGAGTGCTTGAAATTCTTGTGACATGGCAGTTCGCCAATGCTCAAATTTGGCTGCTTTGTTATAGGTGTTGGGTTCGGTAGGTTGAATTATGTGAGCTAAATCAAATATTTTCTTAGGTTTGGATATCCCAGTTTTTAGACGGGTGACCATGTGATGTATGGATTGAGAGACGGGCTGGGAAGTTGGTTCGGTCTGCTGGATGTTCTCGGTATTGGATTGGGTGGGAAGTTGTGTTGTTGATGCATGTGTTGGGTTCCAGAATGTGTGGCTGGATAGAAGGATGCGGAGGGTGATTTGAAGAATTGAGTGGGGCGAGTGTGAGAACTGGCTGAGATGTGAGGTGAGACGGTTGATTTTGGTGTGGTAGAATGCTTAGGTTGGGTACCAGGATCAGTGGTGGCATAGTGAGCGAGGAACGAGAGTGAGTTGAGGATTGGGATTGATTAGAGTAAGGAAATTCGTTTTCGTTAAAAATAACATTGCAAGAAGTGTAGATCTTGTGAGTGTGAATGTCCAAACATTTGTAACCTTTTTGTGAATGTGCATACCCAATGAAAACACACGGGTGGGAAGTAGGTGAGAGTTTGTGAGAAGTGTACGGCTTGAGCCACGGATAGCATAGACATCCAAGAACTTTGAGGTGGTCATAGTGAGGTGGTTGGCCGTGTAGAATTTCAAAGGGAGATTTGTGGTTGTTGTTGGGAGAAGGTAGACGGTTAATTAAATAATTTGCGGTAAGAAGTGCATCTACCCATCTTAACAGAGCTAATAAAGAATGGAGACAAGAGCACAATTTTGATATTGATATTTTGCCCTTTAACAACAATCCAATGCCACCAATAGTGTACTAGGTAATTGAAGTTCTATAGGAGATGCAATAATTTTGATATGAGCTTGGGATCTACTTTGGTGTTGTGAAAAAGTGAAGAGAGTTGATATTATTTTTTAGGCAAACCACTCATTTTCTTAATGGCAAAAATGGCGAGTGGCCTCAATATGAAAAATACATTATAATCATTTAGAAGGAAGGAGGGAGAAAGAGATAAGGAGAGCTCATTAGTATAATTTTGCTTCTAACCACTTATGCAAGCTCATTTGTACTATGATTCAAAATTTATTGATATTATTAGAATCATTTCGATAAGGCGAGTTTCAAATATGACTGTATAAGAATATAAAATTTGAAGTTCATTTGATCATTAAGATTTTTTCTAATTCAGTTGTTGTTTGTCAAATTCAATGAAAGTAACTTTGTAGATTTCATTTTAATCTAAAAAACTCAAAAGCTCGTTGGCCCTATGAAATAGTTATAAAAATTTTTAGTTCAAATATTTATATATTTTATTTTAAAAAATTATATCATAATTTTTAGTTGAATTGGATGAAATTTTAGTTTATATTTTTTTGAGGAATTTTAAAAAGGAGCTTGTTTAATGCGTAAGTAAGTAAAAGAAATATGATTATTAAACAATTTAAAAAGAAGCAAAAATATCAAATAATTTGACGTTTTCCTTAGAAAATGCTAATTAATTAAGAAAATGTCAAATCATTTGGTGTTTTCTTAAGAAAGTATTAAAATAAATTACTTGACTTATTTAATAAATAAAAAGTGAAGAATATTTTACAAGTTTTGTACCTGTTGTTTTTTTTTTGGAATTGCTTACCTTCCACCATATGAAGTGCAAGAAGAATATGTTTGGCATTTAAATGATTTTATAATTATTACTAACTTCTTGTAATTTTTTATCTCTTTCTAAGAAACACCAAATGATTTGACATTTTCTTAATTAATTATTAATTTTTATAGAAAATGGCAAATGATTTTACATTTTTGTTTCTTTTTAAATTATTTAATAATTACACTTCTTCTACTTAATTATGTATTAAACATACTCCTTTTTTTAATTTCAAAAAAAAAATTTAAATGTTATGCTGTCCAATCTATAGCATAAAAAATAAATAAATCTATAGCATAAAAAGTTTTGATATGCAAGCACTTGCGGAAAAATAATGATAGAGATGGGAAAGAATGAGTAGTTTTTTTTTGTTTATATCTGTATTGGATTCTGCAATCAATCGTTTCCTTTTGACCTGGTTGAGAGAGCATAGAACATGAATGAAAAAGTCTAGCAAGAAATATAAATAAAAATTGGGTTATTAGGTCAGTTAATTTGATGTAGCTCTGCGTTCATACGTCAATAATATTTTGCCACGTTTTCTTACTTTTTACCGCGCGGCCCGACGACCCGACTCGGACCGGAACCCAAAATTGCTATGTTCGCGTATTGCTCGGTATTGCTCAGCATTGCTAGGTATTGCTCGGTATTGCTAGGTATTGCTTGACAAAAACGAGAAATACCGCTCTATGAAGACCAATACCGAGCAATACCGAGTTATACCGAGAAAAACTCAGTATTGCTTAGAAATTTAGGTTTCATTTAAGATGAAACCTAAATATTAATTTCTTTTAATTTTAAAATATTTTCAATTGTAACTGACTTTTACAAATATTAAATTCTTATATTTGTATAGTAAATATTGCTTAGAAATATAGGCTTCATTTACGATGATTATTTTATTATTATTTTTTTTGGGACATTTAGGTCATTTAAGGCAAACTCACACACACAACGCATACACATAGACTCGAATCCTAGACCTCTTGATTGGAAGCCTAAGCTCTCAACCAACAGGCCAAGATGTTAAAGAATTTTTTTAGTAAAAAAATTAAAGCAGTGGATAGAGTAAACCACATCAGTTTTTAATTGGTGATCTCTATATAGAGTAAAACAAAGTAATTAGTTAAGCATTATGTTGTGGTAGTTATGAATACTTGTTGAATTTGCTTACATATATTTTTAAATGAATATTAAAATTTTAATAAAATAAAAATACACTATTATATTTTCATTAAAATAAAATATAATATTTATATATATAACTGACCGGTTCAACAAAATAAAGATAAGTGCGTTTCAAGCAAATTAGACCTGGTTCAACCTGATTGGTTTACGGCTTAGTCCTATTTTCAAAACATTGAAAATTTCTCTAAGTATTTTTTTTAAATAATTCTATCCAAACTAATTTCTATCACATTTTAGAGCTTTTTTTATTTTTCCGTTAATTTGAAAACAAAAATAGTTGATTGCTCTGTATGTTTAAAATAGTTAATAATTCTATATGTAATTAATTTTGATATTCTTGACACTATAATTATAGTTTATTTTATAGTATAAAATTAAGTAACTATCAATATAACATATAACTCATAATAAAATAAAAAATTCTTCTATAACACATATTATTTTTTAGTAATTAATATTTCAAAGTATATATATTTTTTCCATTATATATAAACATTTTAATAAAATTAATCAATGATAAAAATTCCAAATTGAAAAGATTTAAAATGTAGGCCACTTAATTTTTTGTTATCATAGTTTGCCCATTATATAATCCTCCACTAATTTGTTTGGCAATATACAATGAATCCACTAACCCAAAGCATATTCTCTATTGAACCTCTAATTAACATTATTCTATCACATATAATTTCTTGCTAGGAAAAAATAATATTACTTCGTAATAGAAGAAATTTAAAATTAAGTGCTCACATTTTTTTTTTTATTCCCTTATAATATCCTCCCTCTACACAATTGGATCAATAAAAACAAATGAATTAATAAACAATGATGAGATTCACAAAAGTCATGATTTGATGTGATATTATATATCGGATGCATGCCACGATAAATTATGTAGCTTTGCTTCAATAGTGATTGAATTTTATAACAAAATTTGTATGATTATACAAAAAATTGGGGCTGTTTCGTCCTGGAATATTCGTGATGATGGAGAAATATAAAATTTTAACGTCTAAGTTTTATACGAATATTTAGCATATAATCAGATAAAAGAGAGGATGTAGCGTTCATAAGAGACACTATAGTTTTTACGTGGAAACCTCTCAAAATGGAGAAACATCATGGGGCATGACTCAGTCTGAATGAATCCACTAGTATTTGCAGTCAATTACAAATGAGACCCTTCCTTGGGGGAAGGCCTTGGCTTGATGTAGCAAATATACATGATATAGAGTGCATTACATGGTGGGAATCAACATAATCAATATTGACACGTTCATTTAGCCGGCATAATCATATTCGACGAGCGATGGAGGTCAGAAGGATCATAGTCAGCTGGCGACGGAGGTCGGAAGGATCGTAGTCGCATGTGATAGTGGTAAAAAATATTGTTGTCCGGCAACGATGGTAGAAATGATTGTAGTCGGTGGACGACAATGGTTAGAAAGACTGTAATTGAGTGACGACTAGTGGCGGGAAGAAGTCCGACATCAATTTGTAACCGAGTTTAAGTCCAACAATAATTGAAAGCTCGGTGGAAGTCCAAAATCAATTGGTGAGCAGACAGAAGTTTGACAGAATTTCGGCCTCGAGCAGAAGTTTGATGGAAGTTCGGCGATGGGCGGTGATCTAGCATAAGTCCAACGATGGATGCTGGTACGACGGAAGTCCGAGCTGTGGTGAAGCTTGGTGGCAAGAGAGATCTTAGATGTCTCTTCCTTCCTCCTCTCCTTATCCCTTTTATCCTCTTTGCTTGGGTTCCCCTTCAATGAAGAATGAGAGGTCTAATTATAATATTCTTAGAATGACATGACCAATAAAAAGCTGGGAGATTAAGAGTAAGTTAGGAGTTGTTTGAATGGACGGCCGATATTGATCCTCTTGATAGTGGATCCTTTATCGGGCATTTGAATGTCTTAATGATATCATAATTCAGTAATCTTGGTTCGTTGGATTTGTCTCGTCGATCCGCTCGATTCGGTTATAAGCATGCCACGTTTGAAATTCGTTTAGTAATCCAAATTATGATTTGAAGCATCCAAATGCTTTTGGGTTCTTGATTTGAACCCATTTGGGCTCAGATTGAGTCGAACTTGGTGTTGTTGGATTCATATTTTCAAGACGTTTAATTTGACTATAAATTTATTAAAAACAGAATTCGGAAGGTCCCAATTTAATTTTGGAGGTTTCCAATTTGATTTTGCCTTGAGATTCATGTGGTTCAAGATAAGTTTTCGATGATATACGAAGGATACCTAAGTTTAAAAAATTTAATAGTTATTTATATATGTCTAAATTTTTAATTTATATAAAAATATTGTTGATTGAAATATAAAATTAAATAGAAAAAAAATTTAAATTTAAATATATAAAATTATATGATACGAATGTAAAAAAGAAAATTCTTTAATTTTTTAAGAAATGCTATATTCATAAGTTGCTTTTTCTTTTTTTCTGTTTTTATAAATAATTTAAACTTTACACAGCACAAGTTACTAATTCCCTTCTTCATCTTTTTCGTTAAAGAAATCAAATAAATTAATTCCCTTCTGCATATTTTTCGTTATTTCAGGATTCCGCAGCTCTGCTGGTCACTGCCGCCACGAAGCTTCATTCTGCACGACAGCAGGAAGTAGAACACATCCATGGAGTCTAGCAAGACCTGGCCACCTCCCTCCCTTCCTTCTCGCTTCTCCCCTGTTCCGCACCGCAACCCTCCCAGCTCAAACAAGAAGATTTCCGCAAAACCTAATCTTTTCATTCCCGCCTTATCTCTCCAACATCAGCGAGGTAGAGGAGAAAGGGCGAACGTTACTTCTAAGATGCCTGCTCCTGCGCTTCAATCTACTGGGAAATTTGCGGACTTGCCCTTTGATGTACTGGCCCGATTAGCGGCGGCGTTCGATATCCCGGAGCTTTGGGCGGCGAGTACGGTTTGTAGACCGTGGAGAGAGGCTCTTAGGCCTCTAAGGGAGGCGATGGTGCTTCTGCGGTGGGGAAAAAGGTTTAAGCACGGCCGCGGGGTGCGGCCCGATCCTAAACGGGCTCTTGAGTCTTTTCTGAAAGGCGCGGAGCGGGGTTCCGCTGCTGCGATGGTGGATGCGGGGCTCATGTATTGGGAGATGGGCCGGAAGGAGGAGGGCAAGAGCTTGTATGCTAGGGCTGCGGAGCTAGGGCATCCCGCGGGCCAGTGCAATCTTGGAATCTGCTTCTTGGAAGGCATGTTATTGTGAAAAAAGAAAAAAAAAAAAAACTTTTTTCTTGTTAAATCTCATTACTTTACGCTTATCAGAAAGTTTTATGTAAGTTTGAGAGGCGGTTTGATTGGTTGCTTGCCTTCAAAATAGCTAAAATTAAAGGCAGGGAATATAACTTCTTCGTGTTTAATTTTGTTTTTAACTTGTTGCATTCACATTAGATCAGTGACGCAATGCTTTCTTTGGGTTATTCCTTTTCATTATTCCCTGCTGCCAAAACTGGCTAAATTCCAAATTGCGGTCATTTTTTTGAAAGAAAATTTTGCTTCAAATCAAACATCAATTTATGTTACTGTATAACAAGAGCCAAGGTTTTTCAACGGACATCTCCTATATTAAATCTTGTTATTTTTAACCTTTATTATTATTTTTGGAAAGTTTAGAGCAAAACCCAAAATTATATAAAAAGAAAAAAGAATTCAGTGTTCAAGTTGTTGAAGCAAAAAGGTTTGAGTGTTCAAGAGCAATCTTGTTGATTGTTGTGTGCTTTTTAAGTTATAAGTGTAATTAACTTCATATTCTAGAATTTACCCAGTTCACTTTGGTCTGTTGGTTGGGTGCTTAGGCTACCAATTAAGAGGTCTTGGGTTCGAGTCTTGTATATGCGATATATGTGTGGCAACATCTTGTTTTGTTTAAACTACAATCACAATTTTTGTTTGGCCACTGCTTATTTGTTACTTTCAAAAGGTTTTTATGCTAGAAATTTTTTTTTGCAACAATTTAAAAAAAATTACTTTCTATAATAGCTTTATAAAGCAGTAAGAAAGTCATCTCAAACAAAATCTTAATCTATATTTCTTTGAGTTGTAACATGCTAAATGAGGTCACATATAGTATTGACATACTGCATTATATCTCCTCCAATTTGTTGCAGCTGATCCAGCTGAGCCGGAGGAGGCTGTAAAATGGTTCTTTCGGGCGGCTGAGTTAGGAAATGCGCGTGCTCAATATAGCTTGGCACTTTGCCTACACAAAGGCCGTGGAGTTAAATGCAATTTACGGGAAGCTGTATGTTATGCTGTCAAAAATCTGTATGCTTTATATTTCTTCACGCATGTTATATTTATGGAGAATGTATTAATAGTTAAGCATCACTTGAACATATTCAGCCTGAGCAAGTCATAATTGAAAACCTCTACTCTCACTTTATATTGAAGTTGTCTTGTTTGAGTTCTTTACCCTCGCATGCAATAACTAGTAGTATAAATATCGTAACATTCTTCACACGGAATATTGAGCTTGGAAATTTTATTGACTACAGCTTATTAATGATGATTAACTCCTTTCTAGTAGCTGGAATTTATATCCTTTGATTTATTGAATGTTCAGATGTAATAGAGTGATTGATTCATGAGTGCTGATCAATCTGATTATGATGAATCATTCATCATCATCTTGTTTCCATGTTCATGGAGATGAACCTCCATAGAGATGGGGAGATGGCCATGTTTTTACCATGTGTTTTCTATTGAAGATCTATGAATTATGGAGAAGGGTTGAAGGTCAGATGGCTGCTGCTGTATGGAGATTAGAGATGAAATTTGAAAGGGGGGCAGCTATGAGTAGTATAGGTAGCTTGATGTCAGTTGGATGGAATGAACAGAAACTATTGACTTTACTGTAGAATAGAGGAGGAAGAAGGGGGTTTTTAGATAAGAGAAGAGGAAAGAATTAGTGGGGAGAAGGAAGAGGGCAGCTGGCCATGGTTATAGGAAAGGAAATGAGAGGGAAGGGGAGAAAGGGAAGAGAGAGCACAGGAGGGGAAGGGGCTGATTCCTTTTTTTCACAGGCCATCATCTTCTATTTATTAGAAAGTGCTCTTCAGTGCTAGTATTGAAATGAAAAGCTACATAAAGCACAAAAAGAATCATGATCATCAACGCAAAGCATGGTGGCCTCATCATCATATGGCTTATGATTGTTCTGCATCTTTCTCTTAGATGTCAAAAATGCATATTGAAGAGTTGAAGGTGGCAGTCTTGCTGGATTGGAGCAATAGAATTGACTAGTGTGATGGTCGATGGTTTTTGTATTAACTCCTTGTAAAGATTTGTAGGTTTGGGCTTAGGAAACTCCGAAGGAGTCTACTTAAAATAATGAGGTTCATACTCAAGTTTGTGTTTTAGATAAAGATCTCCAAGGTGTCCTTTTAGCAACAAATGGTCTCAACATAGATGAGGGCATGTGACAAGTATGATGGCAGGATGAACTATTGACTCTATATGGAGAATCTCAAGTGGGAAGATCAATGGTCTAGGGTTGTACGTGGAGCTGTAGGTAGGATATGATGTTTGGAAGGTGGTGTTATATCAGGTTGGGATAACATTTGTGGTGGAATTGGTAAGGTAATTTTAAAGAGAAGAAGATAATATTTAATAAAAGACAGCTCTCTTCCCCTTCTTTAACTCTCCTCCTTTCCTCTCTTCACCTCTAGTGTTCAACTGGCCTAGCAACTCCTTCCCTTCTAGTGGCTAGCTGGCCTAGTTCCTTCCCCTGTTTTAATACTCCTTTCCTCTTTATCTTATAAATCTCATAGTCTATTCTTCCATAGTCTCCTTTTTCCCTCTAGCCAATATTTCACAAGGCCTTTTCTTTACATTCAACAAGGAAACTTAAAGAACATCAAAGACAACAACTCTCCAATTGCCATGGACATCTCCTTTCATATCCATGGAGTTTCAAGGCCATAAGCTTGGATGGATGATGAGACAGAATTATTCATAGCCGTTAAATTGTTTAAACTTACATCAATTGATATCAAAGGGAAGGTCTAGCAAGAAGGAAAGCTACTTGAATTTATACTTTTTTTTTGTTTTTCGGGGGAGTTTGCATGCAAGATTTGTTGGTTTGCCTCTATAGTTTATGCATTTTGCTGCTGTAATTGATTCACTGCATTTGTTGCAAGAGTAGATCACTAAATCCCCATGCATGCCCATCCCTTCTTCGTAATCCTTAAGTTTATGCACCTTGCACATTGCTTTTGATGATCACATGTCGCTTGCAAACTTGTATCGCTGGCCCTTAAAAATTTGCTCAAAGCTATATTTTCGCCTATAAATCTTTTTTACTTGCATCATTTTTGCATAACCTATAAGCTATGAAGTACAAACACGGACACGACACGGATACGATACGACACAAACACAAGATATGTCAATTGTTAAAAATATAGGGCACAAATATGGGTTGGATACTGTATTATAATTTTTATATCTTAAAAATAGTGTATAAATATTAAGCAAGTAGAATATTAAAAATAATTGAAAATTAATAAATTATTTAACTAGGATTTGTGCTTAAAACTATTAATTTTAGGATGTCGAGAGTCGGCTGTCGATGTCATGTTTCAAGCATCAAGAGAGGACACGACAATGCTATCAAGAGTCGGGCATCGATGTCAAAACAGTGTCGGTCGGTCGTCTATGTTGAGATGATGTTGGACAAAGATGAGATGCTGAGACTATGCGGGGGGCGTGGTTGTGGGGGTAAAAATTGCTGATGTTAAACTTTGATTTTTAGATGATTTTGAAACATTGATGTTGTGACGGTTTTAGACGTCAATGTTGTGATGGCATAAGGTGTTGTTGTGAAACCTTAATTGTGATCTGTCTGAGAGAAATTAATATTTTATGTTCGAGGAATTAGATATTGAATGTGGGCAATTAATTTGGGGTTGTTGAGAAGAAATAAGAAATTTTGTTTTTATTTTTTAATAAATAAAAATTTGAAATCTAAGTAATTATATTAAAAATTTAAAAAATATTTAAAGCACACACATTGGACATGCATGTCGAATTTTTTTTTTTATTTTTTTTAATCGAACGTGTCTTGGCGTGTCCTATAAGTATCACAAGTGTGTCAGACACGTGTCGTGTTCAATACGTGTCGCACAGTGCATACCACATTGAGATGAAATGTTAATACATCATAACCTACAAGTTTTGTCTGTCAAACATCTGCTTACATTCTTGCCTACCTGATAATGTTACATGCACACCCGCTTGCCTCTTGTGTAAACCACATACTCCAAATGTTCAGCATATGATACACCATTTCACAAATTGTTTCTTGCTTGCAATGCTCATCACCCCTGCCTCACAATCCTGTGCAGACAACCCCTCCTCACCTCAACTGCCTCACTACAAATACCCATACAATTACTTACAACTCTTGCATCTCATGGTTTACCATGCATCACATTCCAATATGATATAGGCTATGTCGATCTAATTATGATTGATCGTTTGTTCTCTAATTATATCAGCTTTCATGACATTTTCTTACTAGGAGAGCTATGTTTTATACATGTTTTTACATGCATCATCGATTGTTGAATTTTAATGAAGTAGGTCTATTTATTTAGGCAAGATGGTATCTAAGAGCTGCAGAAGGTGGCAATGTACGTGCTATGTACAACGCATCTCTATGTTATGCTACAGGTGAAGGATTCACACGGGATCTCCGATATGCTCGGATATGGCTGAAGCGTGCCGCAGATTATGGTCACAGGAAAGCACAATTTGAGCATGGCCTTGAACTTTTTTCAGTATGTTTTCGTTTCTCCAGTATTTTATCTCTTAGACCTTTTAGTTTTTTTTTTCTTTCTATATTTAACTTTAAACTTGCATCAATTGATATCAAAGGGAAGGTCTTGCAAGAAGGAAAGCTCCTTGAATTTTTGACCTTATTTTTGGTTTTTTGGAGGATTTTGCATGCAAAATTTGTTGGTTTGCCTCTATAGTTTATGAATTTTGCTGCTGTAATTGATTCATTGCATTTGTTGCAAGATTAGGTCACTAAATCCCCATGCATGCACATACCTTCTCCGTAATCCTTGACTTTATGCACCTTGCACATTGCTTTTGATGATCACACATCGCTTGCAAACTTGCATCGCTGGCCCTTAAAAATTTGCACAAAGCTATATTTTCGCCTGTAAATCTTTTTTACTTGGATCATTTTTGCATAACCTACAAGCTATGATGTACAGACACGACACACATACAACACGACACAAATACAAGACATGTCAATTATTAAAAATATAGGGCACAAACATGAGTTGGACACAATATTATAATTTTTATATCTTAAAAATAGTGTATAGAAATTAAGTAAGCATAATATTAAAAATAATTGAAAAGTAATAAATTATTTAACTAGGATTTTTTATTAAAATTATTAATGTTATGATGTCGAGAGTCAGGCGACAAGGTCGTGTTTCAAGCATCAAGAGAGGAAATGACAATACTATCAAGAGTCGGGCATTGAGCATTGATGTCGAGATAGTGTCGGTCGCTACGTTGAGATGATGTTGGACAAAGATGAGATGTCCAGACTATGCAGGGGCATGATTGTTGGGGTAGAAATTGTTGATGTCAAACTTTGATTTTTAGATGGTTTTGAAACATTGATGTTGTGACGGTGTTGGACGTCGATGTTGCGATAACATAAATGTGTTGTTGTGAAACCTTAACCACGATATGTTTGGGAGAAAAGAAAATTTTATGTTTGAGGAATGAGATATTGAGTGCGGGCAATTAATTTGGGGTTTTTGAAAAGAAATAAGAAATTTAGTTTTTATTTTTTTATAAATAAAAATTTGATATCTAAGAAATTATATTAACAAAATTTATAAAATATTTAAAACACACGTTTGACATGCGTGTCATTTTTTATTTTTTTAATCAAACACGTCTTTAGCGTGTCCTATACGTATCACAAGTGTGTCAGACGTATGTCTTGTCCGATACGTGTCGCACACTGCATATCTCAATAAGGTGAAGTGTTAATGCATCATAGCCTACAAGTTTTGTCTGTCCAAGCATCTGCTTGCATTCTTTCCTACCTGATGATGCTACATGCACACTCGCTTGCCTCTTGTGTAAACCACATACTCCAAATGTCCAGCATATGATACGCCATTTCACAAATTGTTTCTTTTTTGCAATGCTCATCACCCCCGCCTCACAATCCTGTGCAGGCAACCACTCCTCACCTCAAGTTCCTCACTACAAATATCCATACAATTACTTACAACTCTTGCATCTCATGGTTCACCATGCATCGCATGCCAATATGATATAGGCTATGTCGATCTAATTATGATTGATCGTTTGTTCTCTAATTATATCAGCTTTCATGACATTTTCTTACTAGGAGAGCTATGTTTTATACATGTTTTTACATGCATCATCGATTGTTGAATTTTAATGAAGTAGGTCTATTTATTTAGGCAAGATGGTATCTAAGAGCTGCAGAAGGTGGCAATGTACGTGCTATGTACAACGCATCTCTATGTTATGCTACAGGTGAAGGATTCACACGGGATCTCCGATATGCTCGGATATGGCTGAAGCGTGCCGCAGATTATGGTCACAGGAAAGCACAATTTGAGCATGGCCTTGAACTTTTTTCAGTATGTTTTCGTTTCTCCAGTATTTTATCTCTTAGACCTTTTAGTTTTTTTTTTCTTTCTATATTTAACGTGTTCTTCCATTTTTTTCTGCTGTTAAAGAAAATGTCTTTAAGTGCCTGTCTTGTGAGTTCTACTTGCTTTCATCTACCTTAGCTCTTTGAGATGTCTTCTCAGGTCTCTCCTTTGCTCAAGCGAACAGCAAATGGAGAGTCATTAAGGGATGCAGTGATGTGCGTTGTTTGTTATAGAGGTGTAGTGAGCATTGGTAGTTTTTACTGTTATTCATAATTTGGTGGTTATTTGCTTGTAAGTTATGGACTCGTTGGATTATTCAGCATTGTAAAAAAAGATGTCTGCACTTGTTCCTACTTCCTACAGCCAGGGGCGGAACCAGCTTCAATTTTGAGGAGGGGCAAGTACTAAATTTTGAGGAGGAGCAATAAAAATAAAGAAAAAAAAGTATAATTAAATTGTCATGAAAAACACGAAATAAAATGTTAGAACTAAATTTGAAGAAATATATAGACATTTTAGGACAACTTAGGAAGGGGGCAAAAGTCATTTTTTAGGAGGGGCAAACAATTTTTTTCTCTATAATTTTTTTTTTCTTTACTATAAATTTTTTTTTTTTTTGAGGGGGGGCAATTGCCCCCCCTAAACCTAAAGTGGTTCCGCCACTGCCTACAGCTTAAATCTGCAGGATCAACAATATTCGACTGAGTAGGGCTGTCAAAAACGGGTATCGGGTCGGGTACGGCTCGAACCTGAATCTGCCCCGACACTTTTTAACTCGACATGTTTTTGCAAATGGGTCAGTTTTTCGAACCCAAATCCGGCCCGCTTCACGACCCGACCCGGACCTGGCCCGCTTCTTTTATGCTTTATTAAAATATTTTTATTTAATTCAATTTATTTAAATCTAAAGTGAATTAAGGTAAGATTTACTTTAATCAATTTAAAGTAAATCAAGCATAATTCAGTTTGGACAACATGGTTTATTATTTTTTGGAAATAACATTTACTTATTTCATAACAATCTTCTAAATCCTCCTAAATCAATTAAAAATGGGTCAAACTGGGTTGATTTTGAGTTTCCGGGTTTACCCGACCTCAACCCCGTTTTACAAACAGGTCAAAATCCCTAACCCGAACCCGACCCGGTTTGGGCTCGGGTCGAATTTTCTAGTCGTGTCAAACATTTACACCCCTACTGGCTACTACTGATCCTACCTTATACCATTCAATATAATGAAGTATAAGGCAACAATTTCAATTCTGATCATCATAATATCCCACATAACTAATAAAATTTTGCTCTTTTATAGTCAGGAGAGACAATGAAGGCACTCGTCTATGTTGAACTGGCTTTTCGAGCTGGAGAGACCGCTGCATCACATATTAGGGATGTGATTGTCCACGCTCTGTCCCAACCCTTACGAGATTGTGCGATGACCTCTGCTGATAAATGGAGGCCACAACAGTTCCATCGTTAACATTTGTGGCAATATATTCTCTTGAATTCATGCAAAGGTGAGAAGCTGCGAAGGAAGGGTTGGCTCTCACTCTCTTAGATTTGAGAAAATCTTATGTATAAAGTTCAAATAAGGCTTCGTTTGGGACGGCTTTCTTATTGATTCGTAAATCAACTTTTTAGTTCAAAAGGTTTATTTTTTGTGCTAGAAAACAACTTTTTGAAACAGTAAGAAAGCTGTCCCAAACGAAGCCTAAATTCTTTCGCTTTCCCTCACTTGAATTTTTTTTTTTTTTATCGCTGAATTTAATGTACATCAGCCACCATTATTTCGGATTTCAGTTAGAAGAAACCAGCAATACGTTGAATGCTTGCCTCTGGAAGGTTTGAAAGTACTTTTTATTCGCTTTCTATAGAATCACTTTATGATCTCTTCGGCAGATGGTGGTACTTAAAAGTGATTTCATAATGCAAACGGCATTTACTTGGACTCTTGGAAAACGAAGAACAAAGAGTAAGAGTTTACTGTATGTTATGCAGCTGTGTGTAAACTGATTATAACCAAGTAGAAATATTTGGCTCATTCAGTGTAACTTGATAAAGCTCGAAGGTGCCATGCCATTAGGCAGCCTTAATAATCCAGAATCTGAATTCGAGCTACCTGTGAACTATATAAAGTATATTGATGTAGGCTTATATTTTGTTTGGGACAGCTTTTTATTGCTTTCTAAAGTAATTTTTTTTTTGTCCAGAAGTTAGTTTGATTTTTTTTTTTAAATGAAATTGAGTTTACTGCTTTGTAGAATATTTGTTATTGTACTATGATTAAATAGTGAGAGACTCTAGCTTCATTCTTGGATTGCTGATGCCCACACCTTTTTTGCTTTATTTTTTATGTTAGAGTTGTTTTCTGTTTAAAAACGTTCGTCTGTTGAAGAGTTTGATATAGATTGAGTGGGCATGAAATAAAAGCATAAGACAATACCTGTAAGAATGAGTAGAAATTTTAAATTGCAGTGAGGATGCAAAATCTTTTGAATTTTGTTGCATGTTGAAATATTTTAATCATTTAGTTTCTTTTGAAAGAGACTCTCTCACCTAGGGCTCTTAATTTGAAACTTTACGTTCGGACGTTAGTAAAATAGTGCCACGTGTTCTCACTATTTACAGCCTGGTCGATAACCCCGACCCGGAACGGAGACGGGATTGCTATGTTCGCGTGTTGTGCTAGGTATTGATCGGTATTTGCTCAGTATTGGTCGATTTTGCTCGGCAATAACGAGAAATACCATTATGTGAAGAGCAATACTGAGTTTTTCTCAGTATTGCTCGGTATTTCTCGGTATTAGTCTTCACAGAACGATATTTTTCATTATTGCCAAGCAATATGCAAACATAGCTATCCCGGGTCAAGTCGTCGGGCCGCGCGGTATTAAGTAAGACAACGTGGTGACATGTTATTGGCGTCCGAACGTGGAGCTACGTCAGGTCACCTGACCTAATAATTATCAAAAATAACATTGAGAGAGAGAGGGAGATAGAGAAAGAGAGAGAGAGAGAGAGAGAGAGAGAGAGAGAGAGAGAGAGAGAGAGAGAGAGAGAGACCTATCTTGATCTTTAAGGTTTTATTTGGGATAATTTTTTGTCATTATTTTTGTTGCTTTTAAGAGTTTTTTCTTAAGCTAGAAGGCTTTTTAGAAATTGATTAAAAAATGTCGCAAATAAAATCTAAGACTTTTTTTGGGATGATTTTCTCACAAATCTTTAAAGCAGTTTTTTAGTACAAAGATTTTTTAAATAAAAAATATTTGTACTAAAAAAATTGCTTATAAAAATAATAAGAAAGTCCTCTCAAATGAAGCTCAAGTCTACTAATTGGAGTCAAATTTATATATATTATATTGGTCAGGATGAATTATGTTGGCTTAGTTAAGTAAGAGATCAGGTTGAAAAATATGTTTACATCATTTTCATAAATGAATATATTATATTTAGAGTTAAAATTTTTATTATGGCATCTCGAACGTTATTCATTTGCTTGTGGCTCCCATAAGTGTTCACCTGAACGTCAAATAGAAATACATTTTTTTTTTTATATATATATATATATATATATATATATATATATTTTTTTTTCTGGATAAAAAATGGTGTTTAGAAATTGAGATGAGAAAGAATTTGCATAAGATTCTTTTTCGGGGTGTTCGATTTGAGATGAATTATTGTTTAATATGATTCTTTCTGTATTTTGAAGTAAAAAATAAATTGTTTAGATGGAGGTGCCGTTAGTGGATAAAAATAATTTAAATTCAATTAAGTTTTAGTTAGAATTAAAGTTCTAGTTATTTTTTTGACAGAAATTTGGCTCAAATCCAATCAATGTATAAGCAAACTTAATTAAATTCAGATCAGCTATAAATTAAATTGAATTATTGAGCTTAATCAGCTTAAGATCATTTTGTTAGCCGGCTCTGATCTCATTGGTTCCGTTTGGCGGCCCTTTCAACTATGAAATATTAGCGGGGGTAATATTATGTATTTGGTGATCTTGCAAGTGTTGGGGTAGAAGTAAATCAAACACGCAGAAAAAAGAAATAGAAAACAGTAAAAATAAGAGGACACCGAGATTTAACGTGAAAAAAATGTCACCTTTAAAAAAAACGAGAAAGAAAATTGTCTCGTCCGTCTCGAAGCGTTGCAACGCACAAATCTATCATCAGTCCATTTGACAGTGTTGCAGTGCTAAGCTCTCAGTCGTTTCTCCCATCAAACTTTGCAGCACCGGAGTGCTTGGGAACATAACGTTGGGGCGCTTGGGTACATAATGCTGAAGGCTCGGGTACACAACATTGGGATATTGTAACAAAAAAAATTCATGTGCAAATCACCCAAACCCAAACAAGGGGAGGACCGCCGCACCCCTTCAACGAGCACGAAAAATTGAACTGAGATCCGAAACAATAGTACAACCTGATTGATCAACACAATCATATTCGACATAGACTACCAAAAACCGTGGTACTTAGTTTGAATGCCGACGGTGGGTACTTAATTGCAAGTTATTGTTTTTTCAAGTTTTGAATAATCATCTAAGCTAAACTCTAATTTGTTTTTCCTCTCTTTGCATCGAATTGTGCAATCATTAGCGAGTACTAAATTGCTTTGCATGATATTTTTTTTTGGGCAAGTATTTAATAATTAAAAAAATTGAAATAAGAATAAATATTAAGAAATGATTTAATACAAGTCAAAATTTTAAAAAATAGTTTTTGTTACAAACTGGAACATTCATGAAAGTAGAGAAATATAAAATTTAACATCCTAGATTTATACGAAAATCCAACACACAATCAGATAAAAGAGAAGACACTAAAATTTTTATGTGAAAAATCCTAAAAAAAAGAGTAAAACTACATGGCATTGCCTAATTTAAATGAATCCACTAGTATTTGCAGTTGATTACAAATGAAGCCATTCTTTGTGGAAAAGCCTTGACTCTATGTACTCTATGTAGCTTTCTTGTATAAAAATTTTAATTTTTTTAACTAAAAAACTGTTTTAAGAAACAGTAAAAAAATCGGCCCAAACCAAGCCTGACACTTTGAGAGTTAAATCATTGAGAAAAGGTGAATAAGAAACTCCCTTCAGCACAGTTTTAAGGGGCAATGGCAATTGCATTAGGTTAACAAAATCTTTAAGAAATTTTAGTATCTGAACTAGAATTTCATAATATCTTATCTGCCAAAGTGAAGAAGGGAAAATGCTGGCATTATCAACAATACCTACAAAGATTGATGGAATCTCCACAAGCTTAAGTACTTTTCATTGTGAGCTGTAACAATCTTCTTCAGCCCAACAGCAAGGCAGGTAATAGGATGTCTTTGGCTCCTGGGTATATTATGAATCTCGATATCTGAAGAGATGGCTTTGGCCTTTATGTTCATTTTGAAAGGTGAACTGGTACTGTTGGAACCATCCAATTTGGTGCTTGGGTTCAATATGAAACGTGAAAGAGTTTCACCTGTGTTTTGGTTAAGAATCCGGAGAATTCCATCAAGCCCACCAACTGCTAAAGTGGATGAATCACACGCTAGATGATGGATGCTGTAGATTACGTTTGGGCTCACTCTTGTCTCCCATAGGGGACGGAAAGTCCTGCAAGTAGGAAGCAATGGGTGAAATAACCTGAGGAATATTTCTCCGGAAAATTTGGAAATATTCGAGGCGATTTATTATAAAAAAAAAAAAAAAACTTCATGTACTCTTGATTATGGTTTCATTTAGGACGCCTTTCTTATTGTTTCTTGAAACAGCTTTCTAGTAAAAAAATTAAAATTTTGAAATTAAAAAGCTGATTTAGGAAGCAGATAGAAAGCCGTCCCAAACGAGAACAATTATTACGTCCTCTGACCTGACGTAGAGGTACGTTCGGCCGCCAATAACATATCGCCACGTGTTCTTACTCTTTACCGCGCGGCCCGACGACTTGACCCGGAGCGGAACCCAGGAATGCTTTATTTTTTTGCTCAGGATTTGCTCGGGATTTGCTCAGGATTTGCTAGAAAAAACTAGGTACAACTCAGTATTTGCTCAGGATTTGCTCGGTATTGATAGGGATTTGCTCGGTAGTGCTAGGTATTTGCTCGGTATTGCTAGAAAAAACTCGGTACTCGGTATTGCTAGAAAAACTCGGTACTCGGTACTCGGTACTCGGTACTCGGTACTCGGTACTCGGTACTCGGTACTCGGTACTCGGTACTCGGTACTCGGTACTCGGTACTCGGTACTCGGTACTCGGTACTCGGTACTCGGTACTCGGTACTCGGTACTCGGTACTCGGTACTCGGTACAACTCAGTATTTGCTCAGGATTTGCTCGGTATGGCTAGGGATTTGCTCGGCGGTACAACTCAGTATTTGCTCGGTATTGCTAGAAAAAACTAGGTACAACTCCGTACAACTCGGTACAACTCAGTATTTGCTCAGGATTTGCTCGGTATTGCTAGGTATTTGCTCGGTATTGCTAGGTATTTGCTCGGTATTGCTAGGTATTTGCTCGGTATTGCTAGGTATTTGCTCGGTATTGCTAGGTATTTGCTCGGTATTGCTAGAAAAAACTAGGTACAACTCGATATTTGCTAGATATTTGAAATATATCCAAAAAGTGATGGGATGTTGTTCGGTTTGTAAAGGAATTAAAAAAATGCATGTACGAGAACCCAAAAAACGGCGGGTCGGGTCGGCGACTTTTCTTAATGCTACGTGTCGCTAAAATATTGGTGGCCGAACGTAGAGGAGCGTACGTTCACCGAACCAAATAATTGTTCCCCAAACGAAGCCTGAATCCAATGTCAAAAAGATGATATGATTTCTTTTCGAGGTATTCAACTAAAAGATTCAACTAAGCCAAATGGACGATTTAAGGCAGTGCATTTTTCTTCTAGAAATTAAAGGGTTTGGCTATTCCGGAATGTGAACTCTGAAAATTCTGCCTTCCCCTCTCCAAAATGTTGAATTGCAAACAGCCCCTTGTTAAGTATGTAACTTCGTCCATATTTATATAGAAGTTAAGAAAGGGGTGTCAAACTAAAGTTCTAAATAAACCTTCTACTATTAACGAAGCCAAAAATTAAATGGATTGACAAGTAGCCTACTTAAATGGTGCATCGAGTTTATTTTTAAAGAAATTGTTTATGAAGTCATTTCCCAGTAAAAAAATACATAAAAATGTGACGCAGAGCAACTCCAATCTGCGCACAGATCGGTGATAAGATCACAAAATAAGATTCAATCATCTAGCTTGAGATTTGTATTTAATTATTTAATATTTTTCAAAGCAAGTGGTATAGATTTAAGTTGTCTAACATTTATAAGATCACAAAATAAGATACAATCATCTAGCTTGAGATTTGTATTTAATTATTTAAAATTTTTCAAAGCAAGTTGTATAGATTTAAGTTGTTTGACACTTATGTGTGGAATCTGATTGTGTAGATCAATTTGGTTATTTAGTTGTTTCAGACCTCAAAGCATGTCGTGCACACTGGGGAGCGCGGGGGGGTTTACCCCCTGCTTTTTTTTTCCATACAACAGCCTAGCGATCCGTACCAGAGCGCCCAGGCGCTATAGTCATAAGCGGCCCATCGCTGAACGATAGATAGCAGAGCATCGCAACGGTCGAGATATGGCACCGCAGCGAGTCGAGGCATAAGCTGAGCGCTGCAGCACTGATTGTTTGAGCGATGCAGCATTGTCAAATAGAGACTGGGCGCCGCAGCGCCCCAAACTAGCGCCGCAGTGCTGGGAGCGGACTAAACATTTATTTTTCTCGTTTTTCTCAAGGGTTGTGTCCTTTGGGGGTTATAACTTTCTTTTGTATTTTTTGAAATTATGATACATTGAGAATGGTGCATGAGAAAAGAGAGGAAATGAGAGAGTGAGAGAGAAGACTGATCTGTACTTATTTCTCCCATTTTTCATAGAAGATTTCTTGGTGTGGTGTTGTTCCGTGGTTTTTTCCCTATTTTGGGTCTTTCATGTTAAATCCTGATGTCATTTACTTTTCCACTGCTTTTACTGGTGTTTACTCCTCATTTCTCCCCAACAATCCGACACCTACCCTCCTCTCTAGTGATTCTTCGGTGGCATCACTTGTAAAAACTTCGCCTCTTAGTCTCTCCTTCGCCAAAAACCCTAAAAAACAATCTGAAGTTCTTGTTCCCATCCAAGCTCCAAGCTAACCTTTCAAGGAATCTCCCATCATCCAGAAAATAAAACCGAAGCATAGCCTCACTCTTGGCCAACCCCCTTTAGGCCTTTACCCAAAGAAATAAAAAAAACCTTGCCTCACTACAAGAACCACTCATCATCAATAAATCTGGTTCCGTTCATCAATTATACTTCAAGTCCATAACACCACTTAATCTCCAAGTTAACACCTACCATCATCATCAATAGGTCACTCACTTCTAGTCTTCTTCCTCATTACTTCCTTCTTCAAAAAATATGTTCTCCTAGGAAGCGGGTTGGGAACCATTGTTGCCTTCCAACATACCACAATAGCTCCCTATTTTCAAACTGAGGAAACGGCGACCACCATCAGTATTGCCAATCAAACTTCTTCCTTAAATTCTCATAAATTTTTACGTGAATGATTTTTAAAAAAATAATGGTACGATTTAGAATAAATAAACTCAAGTATTAAAATTGAGCCTTGTGCAGCTAAGTTGTGCATCTCAAAAAACATAAGAGATCTATCACCTATAACTCGTTTTCAAAATAGATCTTTATTTAGATGTTGTTTGATTTCTTGAAGAAGGAATGCAAAATATCCCAAAAACATGAGATTTCAAATTTTGGTTGTATGGTTTGATGAAAAATAAATATGATGTAAAATTTTAGTGAATTTCTTTTTCATTCCCCAATTCATATTTGATGTATTATAAACTCATCCAATTTTGGCCAAATTCATGTTTCACCGCGGGATGATTGAGATGTTGTCGCCGACCGCCATCCATCACTTGTTGCCAACCTCCGACTGTCGCCAATCAACACCAAAATTTAACTTTACATTACTTTCATTTTACTTTAAAAAAAGAAAGATAAAAAATAATCATCTGCATTCTTTTACATTTACCTAAACAACTTCAAACATTTTAAATACACCAACACTATATTCTTTTTATACAACATTCTTTTTTACTTTGCATGCCTTTTTAGCAAACCAAACAACCCCTTAGAAGAATTCAAGTTGGATGGTTGAAGTGGAGGAATGCATCGGGCATGGTGTGTGATAGAAAAGTACCCCTCAAACTTAAGGGAAAATTATATAAGATTGTGGTGGGACCTACAATGCTTTATGGTGCAGAATATTGGACATTAAAAGACAAGCATAAAATTATGTTGTGTTGTAGAGATGAGAATACTCAGATGGATGAGTAGCTTCACTCTTAGAGACAAAATGCGAAAAGAGTATATATGTGAAAAGCTTGGAGTAGCTCCTATGACAGATAAGATAAGAGAGAGTTGCTTTAGATGGTTTGGTCATATAAAATGTCGGCCTTTCGATGACCCGATAATGAGAGTAGATGTATTAGATTTGGCCTATGTTAAGAAAGGTAGAGGTAGACTAGGGGTGTAAACGAGTCGAGTCGAGTCGAGTTTAGGCCTTATCGAGCTCGGCTCGTTAGTCGAAAAGCGAGCTCGAACTCGAGCTCGTCCCTCTATAAACGAGCTCGAGACGGCTCGATTCAATTTGGCATTTTCCCGCCCGCCCATTTTCATTTCTCCTGCCCGTTTTTTTTTTCCCGCCCGTCCACTTTCATGAGCAGCTGTCATGTAATTCCAAAAAAAAAAGCACCTGTCACGTGAACTCATATCAACTTTATCAAGCATCATGGCAATTCATTAATGAGCCATAGATTAATATATATTATCTTGGTTATAAAATATTAGAAATGATTTTTTTATTAGATTTAAATGAAAATTTGACTCTTAACAGAATACAATAAGAAAACGGATTCATGTAACCGACCCCACAACCCACATATAGTGGGATAAAGGCTTGATGTTGTTGTTGTCGTTGTAGTTAGAGAATATTATCACCAAATGTATCATCTTTTTATGAAACAATATCATTTGGCAAATTGCTTTCGGAAAGCAAATTTGGAGAGAATAGCACATTTTTTTAGTGTACAAAATGCCAACCTTCTCTCTGATGGGCCACAATAAAGCGAACCAGAATGAATGGCAGATTAGCCTTTTATATCCCAACCCCTCACACCACCAAAGTAGATAATGGGACACCACTGTCCCTACGGAAAAATAAGCCTCTTCTTGAAACTAGTTATCTCTTCTACATTTTCAAATGAATGAAATCTTCGAACTTAGAAAGAGAAAGACTCAGCTTCAACATTATGCCATATAATGCATTACTCTACATGTATATGCAACGTTAAAGATCGCAAGGGCATCATATAAAACTAACATAACTTCAACTTGTTCAAGCAAGCCCAGTACAAAAGTTAATCCATGCATCAAGGGCTTGCATAATGTAACTCAAACTCAACACTCAACAGCAAACCAGAATAAAAAAAATCGTAATGCTGATGGCCAACAAAAACAAGTTTTTAGCAAAAAATTATTCAGATATTATTCACTGACCTAAGATCCCAGCAATGAACATAGCCAGAAGTTGATCCCCCATACAGCAAATGTGAATGAGTACTAAAACACAAACTTTTCATACCTGTCAAAAACAAAATGACGAGGACAAATCAAATCACAATTAAACATAGAAAGATCATGTACCATTCCCCAATCATGACTTTAGCCACGTAACTGATAGGAAATACTTGAGTTCGCAAGTAACCCTAAGGTTATACTTGAGTTCTCAAGCAATCCTAACACAAAACGAAGAGCAAACAGCAGCCAATCTGCTGTCCACAGCAGAAAAACAGCAAAACCACAAGAAAAACTGAAAGAAAACTCAAGAAGAAACTTGGATTCCACTAGACGGTGAAGTAAAAATAGCAAAGATACAATTGTTCTTCAATCTGAGAGGAAGAACAACTCTCCAATCTCCGGCAACGCCAAGAGCCCAAAGCACAAGAAACCCTAGATCTCAAATTGTCATTCAAATTCAAGATGAGGAACAATTTTCCCCCAAACTCCTAATTAAAGCAAAAGGACTAATTAAAATTCCCTAAACATCCCCCTAATTCAAATTTTCCCTCCTAAAGTTTAATACATTCAATGCTTGGGCCCACAAGGGCTGCCGCCCCCCGCCGCGCCCCCCCCCCCCCGAGCCGGCGGCATATCAGTAACTAAAGGGTCGTATGAACTGATACTTAATTTGGGTTAGTGGAAAAAAGTCTAGTAAGGAACCAACTAGATTTGTGTCTTGTAGAGAGGCAGTTCATCCACTCCACCCTGACTATTCATGCAAGTTCAGATTCAGATGAGATTTTAAGCCCATACCGAGATCCAATCAATAAACAATAAATTCTCATAAGAACATCACATATTATTTCAATTAAAATTGTTTTTATTTTCATGCTCTTTCACTACTGATGGCTTGCTACCGCACCCATTGATCAACTCTAACATTCTAATAAGTTCTTACTTAAAGAATTCATGAAAAAAATGGTTAAGTTAGTGATGCACTTTCACTTCAGTGCGATAGGTGTGACGCGGATGCCATTAATTCCTTTCAAGATTAGCAAGCGGGCATGTGAATAATGGTTGGTACTCTAAAGTCAGTATTAGTGGACTATTTTCCATCATGGCTGGCGAAAACACCGCTTAATAGGAGGGACGTGGGAATGTTGACCTTGTGGCTACCTTGAAAGTATGAACATAAGATTTGATCATTGTTCTTGTGAACGGCATCAATTATTTTATGCTATTTGTACAGTAAAGTTACTAGGGTGCACCGTTAGTAGTGGAAAGAGGATTCAATTGCAATTGCATGTTTTGCTAGTTTGACATCTTATTAGCAGGTGTATTATTCAGACTTAATGTTTGATTGATGAGATCTATATATCATTCGTGCATGCTATATAGTAAGAAAGATTGCAAGTAGCATGTTAAATATCCTTAACTCAATAGTTGGAGGCAAAAAAAAAAGTATTTAGTTGTGGTTTTCACAATTATTATTACAAATATTTTCTAAATGATCACATCTTTTGTTTAGTTGAAATTGAATGATTTATATCAAAGTTAACAAAGTAGATGCTTTTGAGGTTACTTTAAGAGGTTAATTTTCTTGTTCTACAACTTTTAATTATTCTTAGGTTATTTTCAATATGGTTTTGTACAGATCACACAGGAACACAACACGGAGATATCATGCAAAACAATTCTGAACAGAGTAGTATTGCCCTGGTAAAAGGTTGGGTGAAGAATGTAAAATGTTCCTTTTTTTTTTCAGCAGTGGATATTCCTTTTTTTTTTTCATTTTGCTTTCAAATAAGAGGCTAACTTGAAGGCATTCGTTATTCTTTAAGCTATAATTATTAGTTTGACTGCTAAAGCAGGATCTCAGTATGAAAATAGCTTTTTTTAAGTTTAATAATTGGCTTTAATGAAAACCAAAAAAAGAAATTTGCAGGCTTAGAAACACTCAAAAAACTATTATATTTTCTTTTAAATGTAATTTGACTGAAATTTCCATTGGGACACATTAAGCAATGACCAGAGGCAATGACCTGTGTGAGAAAAGGATGACTTCATCGATGCCAACTGTTCACCAGTTGAAAAATCTGCGACAGTTACAGTGCCAAAATTAGATCCACCAAATACCAATTGATCTTCAGTTAACGCTAAGCATGAAACTGGCGCACCGTGCATCCTGCAAACATCAGGTTATATGGCATTACAAAATGTTGTCAAAAATATAAAATCTGTAATAGCTCCTAAGGTTCTACCAAGTCATATAAGTACATAGCTGAACAGCTGGTATCATTGGAAATAGAAATAGAGGAATGAGAGTATAGCAAGAAACAACATTTTTCCAAAATAAACAGAATAAATCTAACCCTTTTAAGCAATTGAAAGGACATATAAGGTTTACATGAGCCATAATATTTACCTAATTATTCGAGTGCACCGCCCACTATACATATCAAATACACGGGCACTGCCATCATCACATCCAACCACAGCCTCAGGGTCGATATAACTAAAAAAAGAATGTTATCAGGACAAAAATTCAAATATGACAGCAGAAGAAATCACCCTGCAGTGACAATTTATGGAAACATATACAGCTTTATATTTCAAGTGCCATATAATAGCATATAAAGAAAGGGATTGCCAGTTCATGATCAAACTGAAGGGAAAAAAAAGGCTTATCAGCATCAAAAGTAGCCAGCGTGCCAATGTTCCTAACCAAGTCATAATAATCGCTAAAAATTAAAAAAGTATATGTGTGAAATAATCTTTAAAAATGAGACAAATTTCATATTTAGCTTTCATTACTGATCCAATACGATCATCAACAAACAATACAAAACCACCTAGCCTCCAAGATATTAGTAAACCGAGAAGGTAATCATATATCACAACAATAAAAGTTTTTGAAGCATTATATGGATGGCTTAAAAAAATGTTTTTAGTGTGCTTAGATAGTTCGCAAGGTTCACATGGAAATGATTATGAATTTTATTGATGAAGAGAAGAGAACGGAATATACATAAAGTTGGAATGACAAAGCCAAAGTGCCATAACATGATCACATACTCTTTAGAGTGGGATATAAAAATTGTGCATATTTCATTTGTAATTCAAGGTTTTCTTAAACATTCAAGGTTTTCTTTAACATTCAAACAATAGAGTCAAAATTTTTTCTTAGCATTGCCAATTGTTATCCTTGAGATTGAATCCTGCAATTCATAATGAGTGGGGAAAAGTTTAGTAACACGGTTCAAATCTCTGGTTATTTTACTAATAGATAAGAGATAGCAAAAAAAATTTGAACAAAGAAGGATAGTTTAAACCATCGTGCTAAAGATGTTGATTGTCTAGATGTTGGATATTGATACGATTGGACCGATCTAGGAGGGACAGGTCTAGCTGGCCCAAACCACGGGCAGGCTCCTGCAGTACAGTAGGCGCAAGCCTGCTGGTTGGTAGGCTACTGATTATGCCGCCCTTAGGGTAGGGACCGCTATCTAGGGTTAATTGCTTGAGGGACTTTTTTAATTTGGTGTTAATTTTATGTTTTCTTTAAGTAAGAGTTTGTATTAGGGTTAGGACATTTTTTTGTGGCTAATTTTCTTAGTGCTTTGGTGTTCTTGGGCTCTAGCGACATCTAGAGAGTTTTGGAGAGATTGAACCTCCTCTCGAATAGAGGATCATTTGTATCTTGTTGTTTTCTTTTATTCTCTAACAATCAAGAGTGCTTTTCTTATGTTCTTCATCCATAAAAACCCTAAATTTTGCTTGCTCAAACTGCTAAAATTCTGATTTCAGCTATTAAATTCCTATTTTTTCTATTGTTTCCTATCGAATTGGTATCATAGTAGCTTTTGAGACTTTTTTTTGGGCTGATTTTGTGAAATCCGGCGGCTGATTTGTATCCAAAGGGTTGTTTTGCTGTTTTTGGGGTCAAGATCCAGATTTTTGAGTTCTACGAAAACTCGGTAATTGATGGCGGTCAAGAAAGTGGATGCGTTGGAAGCGTTGGAAGAACGCCTTAACGGGGAGATGAGCCAAATGAGAGAAATACAAATTCTAAAATTCGTAGGAGAGAAAACAATATAGAGCTCATAGAGGAGAGAGATGGAAGGTATAGAGAGAGACGTCATTATGGGGGGCATGAACCATGGGGTGCTGATTGGGAAAGAAAAGGGGGGGATTATGGTAGAAGGGGTGCTAATTTTGAAGGGAGGAGGGGAGAAAGTGAAGATTAGTATGGGTATGAGCGTGGAAGGGAGGATCGGGACACTTGGGGAGGACTGAACACTTGAGGAAGGAAAAATTATGGAGGAATCAGGGGAAATGGGGGAGACCTGAAGGTCCGGAAGCTGAAGATGCCCATTTTTAAAAGGGAGGATGCACATGGATGGATCTACAAAGTAGAGAGGTGTTTTGTCGTCAATGGGTTGACGGAGGAGGAGAAATTGACGGCAACTAGCTTTTGTTTAGAAGGGAAGGACTTGGCTTGGTACCAGTGGAGAGACATGAGGCCCATACAGAGATGGAGGGAGTTCCATGAATGCTTATTTGGAACATTTCTGAACCAACAGAAGAGGGGATTTTTATGAGCAGTTCTTCGCACTAGTACATGAATGTTCAATGGCAGATTATCGCGAGAGATTTGAGTACCTGTCGAGTCGATTGGATCGACTATCGAAGAGGGGGGTTTCATGAAGGGATTCAAATCAGAGATCCGGGCGGCAGTGAGGGTCATGAGGCCTCGCGACTTGGGAGAGGCTATGAAGCTGGCACAAGTGGTGGAGGATCCGAAGTACTAGGAGAGGGGAGCCAGAGGCAGCAGTTCAGGCGGCTCTTACAGGATGACCCCCACTCTCTTAGCACTCAGTGGGCCGACATTGGGCAACATTCGTGAGATCTCAAGAGAGAAGCCAGTAGGAGGAAGTGGGGTGAAGGGGCTATGCTTCAGATGTGATGAGATGTATACTCCAGGGCACAGGTACAGGAACCGAACTCTTCAGGTTCTCACCGTCTATGATAACGAGGAAATTGAAGGAGGTGAGGGTGACATAGGGGGAGAGGAGGAGGACAAGCTGTATTTTGACATGGCAGAGGTCTCCTTGAACTCAGTGGTAGGATTCACTCCGAGTCATATCATGAAGGTAAAGGGATAAATGACAGACAGAGAGGTGGTGATGTTGATTGATAGTGGGTTTATCCACAATTTCATCTCCAAACCAAGTCGTGCACCAATTGGAGGTGACATTGGTGGATGCATGGTGTTGTGAAATGATGATGAGTATAGGAAAGGTGGAGACGGGTCAGGGGATATGTAGGAGAGTAGTGTTGACCATATAGGGGATTCAGGTGATGAAGGACTTTCTCCCATTGGAATTAGGGTGCATTGATATCATCCTGGGGATGAAGTAGTTGCAAACCTTGGGGGGCACCAAGGTCAACTGGGGAGCATTGACAATGGAGCTGGTGGTGGAAAGGAGAAGGGTAGTGATCAGGGGAGAAGCTAGACTCTCCATAGCTATGGTATCACTTAAAACCATAGTGAGGAGCATATAGGAGGTGGGGGAAGCTTATCTGGTGGAACTGTATAGGCTGGAGGGAATCAGATTGGAGGGTGGGGACATTCCTCTTTTAGCGCAGCCATTAATTCAATTGTTCAGTGAGATTTTTCAACCACCTCAAGGATTGCCACCGCCAAGGGGGCAGAAGCACGCTATCACCTTGAGGGAAGGTGTGTCACCCATCAGTGTTAGGCACTACCATTATCCTCCATTACAAAATGATGAAATTGAGAAGTTGATCAAAGAGATGTTGGAAGCAGGGATTATCAGGCTCAGTTTGAGTCCTTTCTCTAGCACAGTGTTACTGGTTAAGAAAAATGATGAGAGTTAGAGGTTCTGCGTGGACTACATGGTGGTGAATAAGGAAATTCTGCCAGACACGTTCTCCATCCCAGTGATGGATGAGCTGAGTGTGGCAGTGACTTTTATCAATATCGATATGAAGTCAAGGTGTCATCAGATCAGAATGAAAAGGGAGGATGTGCCAAAGACTGCTTTCAGAACCCATGAGGGGCATTATGAATTTCTAGTTATGACTTTTGGCTTCATTAATGCCCTAGCCACTTTCCAGTCCCTTATGAACAAGGTTTTCTGACCCTATCTCAAGCGATTTATGCTGGTATTTTTTTATGATATTCTAGTTTACAGCAGGTCGGAGGAGCACTTGAGGAAGATTTTAGAGGTGTTATAGGAGCATCAACAGAGAGTCAATCAGAAAAAAATGTTGCTTTGTCCAAGCCAGTGTGGAGTACTTGGGGCATGTAATCTCTCAGGAGGGTGTAGCAGCGGATCAAGCCAAAATTAAGGCTATGTTGAGATGGCCACTGCCCAAGATTCTCAGGGAGTTTAGGAGATTCCTAGAGTTGATTGGCTACTACAAGAGGTTCATGAAAGGTTATAGCACCATCGAATGGCCACTAACAGAACAGTTGAAGAATGATGGTTTCTCATGGGGGGAGATGGTCACAACAGCTTTTGAGAGATTGAAGAAGGATATGACCATCGTGTCGGTCTTAGCCCTACCTGATTTCACTCAGATCTTCATAGTGGAGGCAAATGCCTCAGGATATGGATTGGGAGCAATACTCATGCAGAACCATCGGCCCATCGCCTACTTTAGCCAGGTGTTGATAGCTAGAGCCAAGCTGAAGTCAGTCTATGAGAGGGAATTGATGTCCATTGTGCTAACCGTCCATTGTGCTAGCCATCTAGAAGTGGCGGCCCTACTTGTTGGGTCGGCATTTCATTGTCAGGATGAACCAGCGAAGCCTGAAATACTTGTTAGAGCATAGGATGACGACAGAGGAGCATCAGAGATGGCTTTCAAAGTTATTAGGATATGACTTTGAAATCCAATATAGGCCGGCGACAGAGAACAAGGCAATGTATGCTTTGTTTTGAGCTTGCACTTCATAAGCAAATGATGTACAGGGTCAACACATCATAACGCTTCAAGTGCACTTTTAAGAACATTAACCGATAGTCATATTATTTGAATATAATCCAAAACTTACAAATTGTATGGATGTTGTACTTCTTCGCGCTTAGAAAAATTTTTGTAAAGAAACTAAAAAGAGATGCATAAGATAAATCTTTTTATCTCTGTGAGCAGTTCCTTCGGGAATTCTTTAACAAGCTGTGACAATATTTCTCAAGGCAAAAATCACCTTAGTGAATGTCCAAAAGATACAATTCAAGATACCGATTATGAAGTTAAAACTTTGTGCAATGGTTGGTGTATAAATTAACAGCTTCTGAAATTAAGTCTGGATTGCTTATGCTTTGTTGCTCAAAAATCTATGGCGCAAAAAGGACAAGTAGAGAATGAACTAAGAGTGGTGAATTGCACAGCAAAAATAACTAAACTTTTGATCTATGTGACAATAGCAAACACTCCAATACTGGAAGATAGTTAAAAAAAAAACATAATTGCCATAATTTTACGGAATCTCGTGTATTATAATGTTGCTGGAGAAAAAAAAATCTCTGAAATAAAAATGTTCAATTCAGATAATAGACTATAAAATACCCCATGCAAATGCCCCGAGTGAAAATGCCTTCATGAGACCGAAAGATGCCCTTTCCTGACTTAAGGGCCCAAATACATATTTGAGAATCAGTCAATCCTACAATCTTAGAGAGCAAAAATGAATTAGAATTTGATTCAAAGTTATAACATATTCACATACTAAAATAATATTACTATGAACAAGGAAAAACAAGCTTTATCAAGTTAAATTTTGTTGAAGCTTCACAAACATAAAGTTTTCGCCAAAAGTTCACTTCAAATCCAGATAGTACTATATCCAGTGTGATCAAAATATACTACCTATTGTTATTCATAAAACTCCAAGAGAAAAGGCAAATAGTTCCGTTACCTTGTTAACATTAACATATAGGTATGTTTGTCCTCCCAAATTCCATCGGTTACTAAGTCATGCTCCCCACTCCTGTTCTCCTATTCATATTTTTTATGAACATTTTGAACCCAACTTCATCCACCAGCAACGTGCAAGATGAAAGTAAATAAACCAAAAAACCTTATTGATTAAAAGAAATACTCAAAATATATCAAGTTCAATGAGTTGGAATGAAGTGCTTTACGGATGGTGGTTCATAGGAACTCCTAGTTCCATATCCCAAGCCAAATTTTCTCAAATTCGTCTCCAAAATTTTGTTCATTACTACATATAATTCAATGAGAAATAAAGTCCAATATCCATAGGTCTCCTTATAAATTCAATTGGCAGTAAACAGTTAAAAAATCAAATCTAACATGATTTCGTTTGCCATTTTCTAGAGAAGAAATAACTCTGACGTACTATAAAAAAAAAATGGAACGCAGTGCCTAAGGTATTCGCGCCTGTTTTTGCTTGAATTAGTAAGAAACAGATCACAAATGAAATTAAAATGGGAACAAGACGAGGATGGTAGATGGTCAGGCCAATGCAATCACGGCATATAATGGTTAGATAACTCAGTTTTTATAGCCACTTCATTGTCTTCCCGAAGAAACTATGAAGGCCTCATTCCTTCTCTAACCTGGTGATAATGATACGCTTGGACCGGTCTAGCCAGCCCAACTTGTGGGCCGGCTCCTGCAATATAGCAGGCGCCTAAGGTTTGAGGGATGTTTAGTTCTTTTATGTTATTTTTGGATTTGTTTTAAGTAGGAGTTTGTATTAGGGTTAGGGAATCTTTTTTATGGCTAATTTATGAGTGATCTTTGGTGTTCTTGGGCTCTAGCAGCATCTAGAGAGAATTGAAGAGATTGATCCTCCTCTTGAAAAGAGCATCGATTGTATCTCATTATTTTCTTTCATCTTCTAGCAATCAAGTGTTGTCCTTGTGTTTTCCACCATAAAAACCTAAAAATCCACTTGGCGAACTTGCTGAAATTCTTATTTCAGCGATTAATTTCTATTTTTCCCTATTGTTTCCTATCAAATTGGTATCAGAGCAGTTTTTGGGACTATTTTTTGGCTGTTTTGTGAATTACAGCAGCTGAATTTTGCCCGAAGAGGGGCTATTTTGCTATTTTTGGGGTTGAGATCCAAATTTTTTAGTCGAACAAAATTCCAGGTATCAATGGAGGCCAAGAAAGTAGATGTGTTGGAAGAACGTCTTGAGGGGAGATGAGCCAAATGAAAGCAACGGTGGATGATAGAATATCATCCATGGAAGGCAAAGTTTAAGATCTTCATGAGATGGTAAAGAAGATACTGGGACAATCAAAATCAAACGATAGCATCGAAGCAGAAGGTCCGATAGGGAGAAATATGAATTCTGAAATTCATATGAGTGAAAATGATGTGAAGATCATAAAGGAGAGAGGTGGAAGGTATCGAGAGAGGCATGGTTATGGGGGCATGAACTAAGGGATGCTGATTGGGAAAGAAAAGAGGGGGAATATGGTAGGAGGGGTGCTGATTTTGAAGGAAGGAGGGGAGAAAGGGAAAATGGGTATGGGTATGATCGTGGAAGGGAGGATCGGGACACTTGCGGAGGACAAAACATTTGGAGAAGGGGAAATTATTGAGGAATCAGGGAAAATGAGGGAAATCCAAAGGATCAGAAGCTAAAGATGTTCATATTTTAAGGGGAGGATGCACATGGATGAATCTACAAGGTAGGGAGATATTTGGTCGTCAATGGATTGACGGAGGAGGAGAGATTGACAGCAGTTAGCTTATTTTTGGAAAAGAAAGTGTTGGCTTTGTACCAGCGGAGATACATGAGAAGGCTCATATGGAGTGGTAGGGAATTTAAGGAATGCTTATTAGAACGTTTTCGAAACAGCAGGGGATGGGATTTCTATGAGCAGTTCTTTGCATTAGTGCAAGAAGGCTCAGTGTCAGATTACCGCGAGAGATTTGAGTGCCTGGCGAGTCGATTAGATGGACTATCGGAGATTGTTCTAGACATGAATTTCATGAAGGGACTCAAATCAGAGATCCGGTCAGCAGTGAGGGTCATGAGACCTCGTGACTTGGGAGAGGCTATGAAGCTGGCACAACTAGTGGAGGATCATAAGTACCAGGAGAGGGGAGCTAGAGACAGCAAATCAGGTGGCTCTTACAGGATGACTACCACTCCCTTAGCATCCAAGGGGCCTGCATCGAGCAACATTCATGAAACTCCAAGAGAGAAGCCAGTAGGAGGAGGAAGTGGGGGAAACTTCAAATAACTGACTGAGAGGGAGATGCGGGAGAAGAGGGCGAAGGGATTATGCTTCAGATGTGATGAGAAGTATACTCCATAGCATATGTGTCGGGACCGAAATCTTTATGTTCTCACTGACTGTGATGACGAGGAAACTGAGTAGGGAGTGAGAGTGAGACAAGGGGAGAGTACAAGTTGCATCTTAACATGACAGAGGTCTCCATGAACTCAGTGGTAGGATTCACTCCGAGTCATACCATGAAGGTGAAGGGGAAAACAGCATGCATGGAAGTGGTGGTGTTGATTGAAAGTGGGGCTACTCAAAATTTTATCTCCAATCAGGTCGTGGACCAATTGGGGGTGAAATTGGTAGAAACAAGGTGTCACTGAGTGATGATAGGTACAAGGAAGATGGAGACGGGCTAGGGGATCTATCGGAGAGTAGTGTTGACCATATATAGGGTTTAGGTGAGGAAGGATTTTCTCCCATTGGAGTTAGGGAGAACTGATATCATCTTGGGAATGAAGTGGTTGCAGACCTTAGGGAACACTAAGGTAAACTAGGGAACAGTGTTGACCATATAGAGGGTTTAGGTGAGGAAGGATTTTCTCCCATTGGAGTTAGGGAGAACTGATATCATCTTGGGAATGAAGTGGTTGCAGACCTTAGGGAACACTAAGGTAAACTAGGGAGCATTGACAATGGAGTTGGTGGTGAAAGGGAGAAGGGTAGGGATAAGGGGAGATGCAGTGCTCTCCAAAGCCATGGTATTACTTAAAACCATGGTGATGAGCATACAAGAGGTGGGGAAAGATTATCTGGTGGAGCTACAGAGGCTGGAGGGGATCAAATTTGAGGAGGGTGGGGTAATTCCTCTTTTAGTGCATTCATTGATTCAGCAGTTCAGTGAGGTTTTTCAGCTATCTCAAGGATTGCCACCACCAAGGGAGCAGGAGCTTGCTATCACCTTAAGGGAAGGTGTGTCACCCATCAGTGTCGAGCTCTACCACTATCCCCAATTTTAGAAGGATGAAATTAAGAAGTTGATCAAAGAAATGCTGGAAGCAGGGATTATTAGGCCCAGTGTGAGTTTTCTTTCTAGCCCAATGTTACTAGTTAAGAAAAAAAAAAAAGAGATTGGAGATTCTGCGTGGACTACAAAGCGATGAATAAGGAAACTGTGCTAGACAAATTTTCTATCCCAGTGATGATGAGTTGTTGGATGAGTTGAGTGGAGCAGTTATCTTCACCGATATAGATATGAAGTCAGAGTACCATCATATCAGAATAAAAAGTGAGGATATATCAAAGATTGCTTTTAGAACTCATGAGGGGCATTATGAATTCCTAGTTATGCCTTTTGGCCTCACTAATGTTCCAACCACTTTCTAGTCCCTCATTAATAAGATTTTCTGACCCTATATCAGGCGATTTGTGCTGGTATTTTTTGATGATAGTCTGGTTTACAGCAGGTCAAATGGAGAGCATTGGGAGCACTTAAGGAATGTTTTAGAGGTGTTATGGGAGCATCAATTAAGGGCCAATCTTAAGAAATGTTTCTTTGTCAAGGTCAGTGTGGAGTACTATGGACATGTAGTCTCTCAGGAGAGTGTAGCTACGAATCAGGCTAAAATTGAGGTTATGTTGAGATAGCCACTTCCTAAGAATCTCAGAGAACTGAGGGGATTCCTAGAATTGACTGGCTACTACAGGAGATTCGTGAAGGGTCATAGTACCATCACATGGCCACTAACAGATAATTGAAGAAGGATGGTTTCTTGTGGGGGGAGGAGACCACAATAGCTTTTGAGAGATTGAAGAAGGCTATGACCGTTGTACCAATCTTGCCCTTGCCAAATTTCAGGTAGGTATTTGTAGTAGAGACGGATGCATCAGTATATGACTTGGGAGCAATACTTATGTAGTGCCACAGACCCATTGCTTACTTCATCCAAGTGTTAACAACTAGAGTCAGGTTGAAGTTAGTTATAAGAGGGTGTTTATGGCGATTGTGCTAGCCATCCAGAAGTAGCGACCATTATTTGTTGAGCTGACATTTCATTGTCAGGACGGATCAACAGAGTATGAAGTACATGTTGGAGCAGAGGATGATGACAGAGGAGCACTAGAGATTGCTGTCAAAGTTATTGAGATATGACTTTAAAATCCAGTACAGGCTGGGGATAGAGAAAAGGGCGGCAGATGCCCTTTCCAAATATATAGGGAAGCTCCATGAGGCGGCCGTGTTGATACCTCTGATGTTGGATTGGGGGACCATTAAGGAGAGGAGTGCCCGGGATGAGGAGCCAGGGAGGATTAGGGCAGATTTATTGATGGATGGGAGTAGCCACCCTGGTTATTCTCAAAAAAGGGAGAGGCTTTCGTACTAGGGCCGATTTGTGACGCCCAGGACCATAGCTCATATTCCACACCTACCCCAAGAGTTCCATGGTAGTGCTATTGGGGGTCTCCAGGGGTGCAGAAGATATACATGAGACTTGCCTCAGATTTATATTGGAAGGAGATGCACAAGAATGTGGAGAAGTTGGTCGCCAATTGTGAGGTTTGTTAGCGGAATAAGAATATGGTCATGCCACCAAGAGGATTATTGTAGCCCCTAGCTCTACCAGATTGGGTGTGGGAGGTCTCCATGAATTTTATAGATGGGTTACATCAATCTGAAGGATTAATAGTGATTCTAGTGGTAGTAGACAGGATGAGCAAGTATGCTCATTTCATTCCCCTACGACACCTCTACATGGAAGTAATAGTGGCATCAGCTTTCATTAGGGACGTGGTCATACTGCATGGGGTACTGGAGGTTATAGTATCCAATAGGGATAAGGTGTTCCTCAATCATTTTGGGAGAGAATTATTCAAACTACATGGAACAGTACTAAAAAGGAGCACCGCCTATCACCCATAGACCGATGGGCAGATGGAGGTGGTAAACAGAAGCTTGGAGACATACCTACGATGCTTTATGTAGGAAACCCCTTAGCTTTGGGCCAAACGGGTTAGCATGGGCAGAGTTTGGTATAACACTTCATATCATTATGCTTCTCAGATGATCCCATTCAAGGTGTTGGAAGAGAGAGATCCACCTCACCTGGTGCATTTTAGGTACAGTCACACTCCAGTTTCTTCAGTAGAAGCATTCTTGGAGGAAATGGATAGGGTGTTAAAAGAATTGAAGAATCATCTGTTGAGGGATCGGCAGATTATGAAGAAACAGGCATATGGGCATAGAAAGGGCATCCAGTTTGAGATTGGTGAGAAAGTGTTCTCAAAGCTAAGGCCCTACAGGCAAAGGACAGTCAAGGTGCGCCGATGCAACAAACAAGAATGTAGTGCGAATGGGAGCGTGGGCATGGACTAGTGCACGAGAGGCTAAGCGGGATTGCGGCAGTACACACGCCAGCGGGATGGGAGGTGGGGGGTTGTGTGCGTGCAATGCCACCCGGGTTAGTTTCGGGTTGATTTTGAGTTTCCGGATCAAGACCCGTCTGACAAACGGGTTGACCTTATCATGAAATTTTTCGGGTCGGGTCAAATATTGACACCCCTAGAGCACATGTTGTACATTTGGTTCCAAAAACGTAGTCGTTGTCCAGTATGAAGCTCCTGAATTGCTACCCTTACTGCTTTTCTCACGTGAGCTTTTGTCCTCCACTAACTGGGCTTGCTCCATAGCCTCCCTCAACCCTCGTAGCCTCAATAACCGAACAACGGCTCTGATCTCTGGCATGAGCCTCTTCATGAAATTTTCCTCCAACACTATTTCGGATAGCCACTCCAATCAACTAGAAAAGTACTCAAACATCTCCTGATAATCCATCATTGTCCCTTTTTGAACTAGAGCAAAGACCAGCTCATAGAAGTCTCCTTCTCGATTGGTTTGAAAAATGTTCTAATAATCTATCTTTGAATCCCCTCTACGATCGGATTGAATCTCTCATGTCTCTCCAAGACAAGGTCTTCCCCTCCAAGCATAAAGTCGCCGCTATGAGTTTCTACTCCTCCTTCAGCTCGTTCACCGCAAAGTATCTCTCCACCCTATAGATTCACCCATGAGCATCGTCCCCCTCAAAAAGGGCATCTTCAGCTTTCTCACTCTGAGATCCCCTATGCCCCAACTTCCTCTTCCACCTTTGGCTCCTCCCATGTGACGGTATTGTAATATCTCCAATATTCTCTCCCACCCCTTCTCCTTTTATAGATATCCTCTTCCTCAAAATCATCCCTCCTTATTTCTTCCTCCCAATTTCCCCTCATGTCATATCCTTCACCCATTTTCATCCTGGTTACCGGTTCAAGAGGTGTCCTATTTTTCCCGTCACCCAAGATTTCTACCTCTCAATCATCCCTCATTATGCCGATCTTGGGGTTTCCCCCACTTCTTTGGCCACCCGTCGGTGCTCTTGCCTCCAATGTTGTTGGTTGAGTGTGAAACTGCAATATTTTCTTCATCATATCCTCTAGGTTAGAAAATATTCCTTCCATAAATAACATATGTTCCTCAACTTAAGATTTGAATCGGCCAACTTCTCTTTCAAGTTTTTCTTCCAAAGTGTCCACTTTCTTTGGCGCCATAAGTCTTAAATCGTGCTTTGATGCCAATTTGATAAGACTTGCTAATCAAAACAGCACACAACAATAAAGAAAACAACACTTACTCCAAATAGATCGAGAAATAACACCAAGAGGGTTGTATTTACTAATCTTCAAATAAAGAAAGACAATATACAAGTTGATTCACTGTTCGAGAGATGAATGGTCTCCCCACAATTCCTAGCAGCCACTAATAACCCAAACACCCAACAAAAACTGCTACAGAAAATAAAACTCAACATAAACCCTTACCCTCCACAATCCCCACCCCGCGCCTAATCGGCCTAAATCCCCTAATAAATCCCTCTTACATCTTCTCCAAAGAGCTTCCCCCCAAAGCCTCTTCTCCTATAGGTAATAAGGGTACTGGGCACAATCTAGGTAGCTGAGTTGTCAGCAGCCGTATCAACTTTGAACAAGATGACACACTTGGTAATAACTCACCAAAACTCCTACATCAACTTGGAATCAATAAAACCAAACTCGATTCCTTGGTACCTAATCAACCGAGTCAACACTATTTGCATTTGAATTGAAATTCAAGGGGTGTTAGTATGCCTTGCACATATCGATGTACTTGGCATAAACATTAATGGATTAACATGGCTCAAAGTTAATATGTGATATTTATGAACATGTGGAATATTTATAGGAATGCCCCGACTTATTGGAGCACTTTCAAAACAAATTCAGACGTCTAAAGCACTTGCATATTTTATAAAATATTCAGTAGAGTCAATTTAAAGTTGATGATTATTTTATAACCTTTTCTTATTCATGTATTATATATATGATGGCCTACATTGTGAGATTGTTTGTAGCATCTTACAAAAACATATTTATTTTATTATTAAAACTAGAGGCTCTTGCTAGCATTGAATAGCATTTTACCTTTTAGATTTATGAGCATTAGGTTTATAAATTAATATAATTAAACCAGTTTGACTTTTTGAGCTTACTAAACTAGCTGCGGCCTATCTCAATCTTTTGACTTTTTGGCTTACTAAACTAGTTGCGGCCTTAATGTGAAGGCTAAATGAGAAGGTCATGAATGATGCAAGAGGATAATGAGCCAATGAAGATGTTAGCTGTTGGGCATTGTTTAGCTTGCACTTATAGCCAAATCCGTACAATATTTATTGAGGTGCTTATCAATAGGAAGCATAGACTTTACACTTTCCTTATGATTAAGTGGGTAGGCTCTATTTTTATATATCTTTTCAATAAAGAAGGTTCAAGATGCGTCCGTGTTCCATACCTTGTTTTCATCAAAATCGTAATCAACGATTGTGTTCTTATTGAAATTGAAATACTCCTTCAAACATTTACATCTCTCTACGGACCATAGTCGCATTACCTGCAATGGCAAAATAGAAGATTTCCTCTTACAGGTTAATAAAAGAATTTACTTCTTATGCAAGATCTAGAAATCACTTCATGACTGATGCCATAAAAAGCCTTTTTTAATCGCTTTTTAGTTATTGGTATAACAAAGAATATTGGCTAATAGAAAAGTAGAAAAAAGTATAAAAATCAAAATAAGTGATAATTAAAATGTAACTTTAGAGAAAATAAATTTGAAGACTTCTAAATTTTGTACTTCACGTGACTTAGCATGACGAAACAGAAGTGAAGATAGTGGTGGACTTCAATACTTATAATTGTTGAGATGAGAAAAGATGTGGAAGAAAAACGCAGGTGATGGGAAGAAGGGTATTGAAAATAATAGAAGAATGAATGTCTCTAGAAAGGGAGGCCAGTGTAGAGAAAAGAAGCCAGGATAAGGGAGCATGATCAACCAAAAGAAAGAATGCCAAGCAAATGTCATTTATCAATTCATTAATCAATAATACTCACTTTTAACCAAAAGCCTACTATTTATAATAGTAGCTACAAACTCATGGACATTATAACACTGATAACATTAAAATAATGACAAATAAAATCCATCTAAATGACCATTGTAATCTTGAGAACAAACAAAAGGATAAGCAAGAACAGCATAAAATAACAACACGACTACATAGCCACAATTAAGATTGAGTTCTACTAATTAGAAGCAGTTCTCCCGTATTACATCAATTACCCAAGCTACAAAAGTTAGGGATGTAAATTTAAGTTGACAGGCTCCATTCAAGTCTAACCCAAAATTTACCCAACCTGAATCTGCTTGTTTTGAACCCAACCCATTTATTACATAGTTCAAATTATTTAACACAAACCCGACTAGGCCCAAACCCGCCTAACCCTAACGCAACCTGTCTAGCCCATTCATTATATGGACCATAAACTTTTTGGATCAACATGAATCAATTTATTCACTCATTTAACCTAATAATGTACATATTTATTTTACAAAGTGTTTATAACTTTTTAAATCATAAATAATAATCTGGTCAATTTTAAAGTGATTTCAAGTTATTTAGATTGACCCAAACCCAGATTTTCGAGTTGGATTTATGTCGAGCCATTTATTGAGACCTCAAACAAAGAACTCTACTTAGAAAAAGTGAAATGTTACTTGATAAATAATTAGAGGTCCTCAAATATACTCTTAAGTAATCAAGATCATGTGAAACCCATCCCATAGTAAATCCATCCAAAAAATGACAGAGGACGGTAAAAACAATCTCAAAGAAAATGTAACGAATTCAAACTTCATCTCGTAGAAGCGACGAAGGTAAATAATAATAGCTACAACAACAATTTAAATTGAAAAACTTCACCATTAATCCTAAGTAACACTATCATTAGCTTCCCAAGGAAATATCTAAAAATTAGGAGAGAATTGCTTGGTTAATCCGATTAAGCTAAAACCAATTAGGTTAATTGGGTCAAGATGATCATAAAAAATTATGCCTATGGTTGAAAGAGATTAGCATGAAAAGTTGAACTCAAATGATGAATTCAAGATTCTGAAATTGATTTCATTTTGAAATTCAAAAGAATAATAAATTTAGAGATTTAGTCAAGGATTTGTGAATGATTTTATCGAGAGGACTATGAAAGATACTATGGAGGGAATTATAAAGGATATGATTGAGAAAATTAATAAGGGAATTATAAATGATACGGTTAAGGGAATTGTTAAGGATATTGTCAAGGACAATGTGGAGGTATGATTCAATGAATGAGAAATGATATTTGAATTGTATATATATATATACACTAAAGAGAACACTTGGAGTTCCGAGAAAGAAGTTTTTCTTTTCTTTCCCTTTGGAAGGTTTGTCACTCTCATATGTGTAAAAGAGTAAGGGGATGACCAGTCATGTGCCAGTGTCCTCCATACAAATTAATAGATACTTACACCTTGCAAGTGTCATTTTTACATAAATGAAAGCTTAATAAGTGGCTTCATTATAACGACAACGAAAAAAAAAATTTGCTTATAACGACAAGGAACAAAAATCTTCATTATAACAACAAGGAATAAAAATCTTGAAAGGAATGTATGAATATTTCAAGTTTTATGCAACACATTAGTGCCTAAGTTGGGTTGGGTAATACAAGTTAATTTATACATATAGTGCTAGCTCAAACATAAAACTTGTGCTTCAATGGATAGTACGGAGATTTTGATTGTATCAAAGGGAGTAGCTTTTAGTGAGATGAGGTGATGAAAAATAGGTTTACTTGGGTTTGCACATTGTTTCTTGCACAAAAGAAAGAGTGGTGCTTGTGGCACAAATGAATCCCGCTTTACAACCAAAGAATTCCATTCTCCTTGAGGCAGATTGTAGTTAACCAGATTTTCCCTGAGGGTAGTATCAGGATTTATTTAGATTTGGATCCTTACTTCCTATGAGGGCAAGCCCTCATAATTAATTACCCCTCCTAACGCGAAGAAGAGAACTTTTGATTAATAATGAATTAATGTCTTAGACGTGCAACAATTTTAATTTTGGTTATGGGGGATGGAGACAGACCCGATCAAGATCTCATGGTTTCATAGTCCCAGAAATACTGTAGGTTTCAGTCTGCCAACACAAGCAATCATTGATTGTAGACTTGTAGTGTCCAGATATTTGATAAGCATCCATGGGTTACCTCCTCTCAGGGATCCCGAGTAATGTGGATAGATGTTAAGATGTTTTGATTTAGGTTGGGACTTGCGGCTCCGCTTGGGAGTTGCCCGTAGTTTAGATTTAATGCAATCAAGGATTATCATTTTATATTTTGTATTTTATTTCTTATATTTTAGATGTTATGTAATTTTGGATTATATTTTTTATGTGCCCTATTGATGGAAATCAACTCATAATCATGCTTGGGTTTGGTACTCTTAAGTATTTTCTTTCCTTTAGATTTCCACTAATGTTGAATTTGTTTACATGCTTCCTTGATGGCTATTTGGGCATTTAATATGGGGGTTTTTTTTTCCTTAATGCACTTAGCCCATGTCTTCCCATGTTGCCTGGTTTTTGTGTGTTCCCCATGCAATATTCAGATTCAATGCTGGCTGGTTTTCCATGTAGATTTCGGTTTTACCTATACGTGAAATTCCTGTTGTTGGTTTCCCATGTAGTTTCGATTTTCCCTGAGCTTTGGTTTCCTGTTGTTGGTCGTTCTCCTTCCCTCTTTGTTGATTCCTATCCTAATGTTTTATCTTCTCAATAAGTGGCTTCTATTAGCTACTTAGGGTGGCACATTTATGTAGGTATTTGGACTTTTCTCCTATAAATATAGCTGATTTGCTGCTGGAAAATGGTTGTTGTTGGCTAAGATCTAATCCAAACCTAAGGGCTTTTCTTCCTAGCTTGAGAGCTATCTTCTTCCTACCCTATTTCTACTTCCTGATCTTCTATCTATTTCTTCTCTCCATGATTTCCCTTCCACTTGTATCTTTCTTCTCCCAAAATATTATGAGTATAAGGTTTTGTTGAGCCCGTTTGTTGGTATTTGCCGGAGGAGTGACGGCTTGAGATGGATCAAAATTTCTGGGGCAACCACTGGTTTGATTTTTTTTTTAGCACCATTCTCTAATTTTTCATATTTGCATGTGAGAAGACCTTTTTAGGTTGTTCTGAGGGTAGTTTATTTTATGTTTTAGTTTGTTTCTTGCAAGATTTCTTAATTATTTATTTATATCTATTTACTATTAAGTTTCATACAGTTGTTGTTGGCTTATGTGGTATTGAAAGGAAGTGTCATGTTGTATTCCTAGTGTTCTACTTGCTACATAACTTGATTACATCATAATTTAAAAATCATAATTTTATTAATATTTTAAAAAATGAAAATTTAACATTATTATAATTTATTTCACTAATACTTTTCTTTAATTATTTTTAATTAACTTCTTAACTAAGCTCAGCTTTTCTTTACAAATTATCATTAACTTATAAATATGTTATTCATACATATCTAATTTATAAAATAAATTACATTTATAAATTCTAATATACTTTTAAATAAGCTCTATTTATATTTACATGTTATCATTAACTATAAATTCCACATTTAATATTTTTAAATTAAATAACAAATTGTCTCATTCTCTTTATACATATAAATATAATTTCATAAATGAATGGAAAAGAAAACACATAATCTATATAATCTTATTTATTAGGATATTTCATAAGAAAATACTTCTTCAACCTTAATAATTAATAATTAGGCATTTAATCTATTAATTAAACATTTTTTTCAAAATATAACTTAAAAAAAAAATAAAAAAAACTTTGCATTCTTCCTCTTCTCCGAGCCCTACCATGCACCCAAACGACTCCTTCATGTCGAAATTGCTTCCTCATGGCAGCTCGCTCGCAAGTTTCGTCTCCCTTACTCTCTTTCTCTAGATCTCTCCTGTCACCAGCGATGGAAACCCAATAACTCTTTATTTCTTCCCTTTGCCTCCCTTCTCCTTCTTCCTCTTAGTCAGCCTCATGTCGTTCAGAGTCTCGTCTAATCATGCGGTTCTATTGGAGTCAGCGAATCAAAGTTATCTCACACGAGGAGTCATCATTTTTCATTTTCGAACACGCTGCTTCACACATTAGTGTGATCAAATTCGCCTGTTGCGCTTTGCTCGCTCGTGTTGTTCGCCCGCTTGCGTTACTTCTTCGCCCGCACTTCGGTTAGGGTCGGTTCAACTAAACCGGTCCAATCGGTTCTTACAATCTTTCATTCTTATAAAAATTTCCTCCTCGAAATTTACTTAGAACTTATGGTTAAAGTATACTATTATAAGTTAAATTGAAAATAACAACTCCATACTTAAGTAAAATAACAACTTAAATTTCATTCAACATAAACTCTAATATTGATTACATAACTGGATAAAACAAAACATCCAAAATAACATAATAAGATAACTAAATAAAATAAAACATCTAATATAACATAACAAGTTACTATATTAATGGCATCTCAGTCATCTTTAGCAATATTTATAGATTTATTAGGTCAAAGCATAAATTCGCGATCAAACATTCTGCCCTGGTTGAGTTTGCGATGGAGTTGAAAATGTTGATTCTATCATCTTTTGTTTGCCAAAGCTCTTCTGTGAATGTGCTTCACTTGATTTCATCTCTCATGAAGTCCTCTGAATCAATGTAAAGCAATATTTTGTTATGTCCAAGCTGACGACACTAGTAGCAAGTGTTGGAATCCATCAAACATTCACCATTATGAAATCTTACACACTTAGCACAAGCATCCATGATTCTACTGGCAACAGCACTATTAACTCCACTAGAGCTAAGCTTCAGCTTCTTCCCATTTAATCATTCAATATGATTTCTTTGGATATCTTCTTCAACACTCTTCCTTTTATGTTGGTCCCTTCTCTTCTGAGTGATTTGAAAGTCAATCTCCACCCTTTTAGCTCTCCCTAACAACACTGAATAACCCTCGATTCCTAAATAACTAAAAGTTGTCTAATTACATCTTTTAGATCAGCTAGAAATCGATAGCATTTCTCCTCTATTGTTGCAATTAGCTACGGTGCATATTTGGATAAGGTTGAGAATTTAGCTTTGTATTGCATCTACCTCCTAGCTGACATAGGTACAAACAATCGATCGAACTCATCTGTTGCGCTCCGCTTGCTCGTTTTGTTCGCCCGCTCACGTTACTTCTTCTAAGGATATGCTTGGAAAAACATTTTTTTAAGTGCTTGGAAAAGCATACTTTTTCTTAAGTCTCTCCTAATCCTTTGCTTAGGGGTTCCTAAATATTTTGTATGGTAGATTCTTAGAAAGTTGAATATTATAAAAATGCAAATAATCTTAAAATCAACTATAGGATAAAATTTTTCATATAAAACTCGAATAGCTTATTAAAAATTTTGAGTTTTCAAAAATAAAAAGAAATGCAAACCCTCCTTGTAGACTTCAATAAACAATCTATTAGTTGACTGGTTGCTTATCCATAAGGATATGCTTACCAATCAACATCACATATTCACTAATGAACATAATATGCATAGTCGTATGAGTTAATATAAAAATAAAAGCTCTCACATTAAAAACTAAATAATTAAAGAAGTATGTTGTAGGTGAGTAGATACATACCCTCATGATCATGTATCTTTACTTAAATAGCTTAAGCTGTAAGTTTTCTTTTCTAAAATTAAAATAGCCTAACATATCTTGCATATGCATTGAGATATGATTGTATGATTTCAAAAGCGCTTAGGTGGGTTCAACTAACTATCATTTCCAAACAAAATCATAAGATCAAAGATTGGATTGACTTAACCTCAGTTATCTTGTATTGTTGGAATATAAACTCTAACTTTTAAATAAAAATTGAACAAATTTAACATAAATGAAATTTCAAAGTGTAAAATATAAAATAGTATTCAGACTGAGTGCTTGAGCTTCTCATAATCACATAATCTTATAATTCCTACCCAATCATATATATTGTGTATGAAAAAAATTTAGCATATAAAAATAAAATGGCAAACTTTTATTATTGAGACTATAGCAAAATAATATTTTTATCTTTGAAGATAATATGGTACTTTATATGTAATGCTCAATCACAAAATCTTTCAAATAGACTGAAGATAGAAAAATTCCCCATCATCACTATAAATACTGCTTCTAAATTATTATTTTTAATTAAATTAATTGAAATTCGTGAAGAAATATTTTTGCACGTGCTAAAAAAATTTAGTTTATCAGAGTCTTCTTACAGTATGAAATTAATGAATAAATTATATTACTAACTAGACCATTAGGTGTTATGCATCTTGATGACTCCTTAAATTAGATCAATTTTTTTAAAAAAATTTAGTATCACCCTAATATTTACGGTGAAGTTTAAGGTGAATAGTCTTGGTTTACCATTTCAATGTTGTATATTGAAAAATAAGCAATAAAATTAAGAAGAAAAATGTCTCTTTACACTTTAACGGATAGTAAACTATCTCTATTCTCTAAATATAATTATATTTATAGTTGAAATGAAGAACAGAAAATTAATTATGATTTGCCCTTTCATGCACAAGGACAAAAGATAGCCAATAATATAGATGAAATTAATATGAAACAATTAAGAAAATATAGGGTAAATCAAATATAACAAAGCTAGATATTGTGTTAAATGGCTCGTGTAAGCATCATATAGCATGCTAGAAAAAAAGAATCGAGAATAAAATTCACAAAGCCTACTCAAAATAATTGAGGCAATGCTAGTAATGATGATGACATAACAAATATCGAAAAAAAATAACTAAATAGCTTAGTAAGTGAAAACATGTAAATATCTCTTTAGCTTGGAAGTTAGAAGTTTTCATTATATTATCAAATTATTTGGTCAGAAATAATTGACTATAAATAGATTAAACATAAGCACCTTATCCTCTGCTCCTGAAAGAATGAGCCCTCTCTTCATACGACATAAGGCAATCCTATAAGACAATAAAATTATATAAAATTATAGCACGATAATCATGATAAGGTTTGGTCTGATAGAAAAATACTCCTAATGCGGAAAAAAAAATTCAAACAAATAATCTGAGCATATTTGTGAAAGTCCAGATGTAAAGTGTAGAACACATGATGATCGTAATAATCTAGATAACAAATCGAAGTAAACAATATAATCATAATTGGAGGATCACCCCCCCCCCCCTTGGAGGATCCCCCCCCCCCCCATAAACTAGACCAAAAATCTATCATTTTCTGACTAAGCAGTTTTTGCTATTTATGAACTTCTGAAGTAAACAATAATAACAATAAAAGTTATGACTATGGATGATTTTGAATGTGACCATATCTCAATGATCTGAACTTCTTTGGACAACCTCAGCTGTGACCTTTCCAAAGTGCTCAAATATTGACTTCTCAACAAATGCTTGTGTGTTCCTTACTATAAAGATGATTATAAAAATTTATATTCTTAAGATGATGCACATTGGACAAATTAATAAGTTCTACAGTATGAACTTGCCTTATAAGATGTTCTCATTCCCATCATAGAGACACAAATTGATGACTATAATCAACAAATTTAGCCATAATTTTATTAAATATCATATTTTATTAAATCTAATTTTGGGTCAAAATACTTGTTGAAGTGTGTTGAGTTTTTTTATGGACAATGAAAGATAGCTTTCATATGTTCGATTTTCACACAAAAGGATGTACGGAAGGTTCGTTAGTGGCTATCTAGGTAGTGCAAAAAAGAAAATTTTGGCAGACAACAAGGGTTGTAATGGCTGCGGTAAGCAAAGACAGTGATGGCTAGGCAAGATGAAATGATTTGAGAGGAGTGCAAATAGATCATAATCATCAAAGTAGTGACATGATTGGAGGCTGATCATTCAAGAATTAGAATAAAAACTATGAAACATAAGATTTGGGATATGATGCAAAGCAGTTTGTGACGAAAAGCACATCAATGAAATTGATGTGAAAGCTAAGGGATCATGAGGAGATCGTGACGCGCTGATTCATGTGCAGGAGCAAGCGTATAGGGGCGGTGAAAATTTTGTAGCAAGAAGAATGTTGTGAGTTAAAGCGAATATGGGAGATGACCAATATTACATGTAACAAGCAACTAAGGCATTAAAATATAAGATATGAAGGCATTGCTAGGAAGCACATAACCCATCAATCACTAGGGTGGAGAAAAAATAGAAGGATGAAAAAAAAATAATGAAGATAGCAAGAAGCCATTAGTGAGGCAGCAACAAGTGTCTAACAGTTGGCTTTGCTACCTAAGGTCAACTTGATCATAGGTTGCGGAGTAGTGAGCAAGAGAAATTGAAAGGTGGGGTAGGAGAGATAGCAAGAGAAGGGATGAGGTAAAGAAAAAGAGCAAGCAACAAGAGGAAGGATTTCATAAGGGTAATGGCTACAGATATTCACACCAGTGAAGATCACAATCTAGATCACATGCTAAAGTTGATACTAAGGAGAGATCATGGGCTTTGGTGAAGTGACATAAGGGCACAAAAAGAAGAGATGTGCAAGTGCTAAAGGACAGACAAAGGAGGAAAGAAGAGAAGGGTGCGGTGTAAGGATAGAGAAGAATAAATTGAGAGCTAAGGAAGACAGAGAGAGCCGAGCAAAACCCAATTTCATTCAACCATCAATTCTAATAATCAATCATCCAAATCCAAGAGACTTGTTTAAATTAAAAAATACACTATAGATAATTACAAGTAAACTTACATAAAGAAATCTAAAACTTGTCAAATAGATTAAGTTCAAATAATTCAAAAAATAATAATAATATTTCCTGATGCTGATAAACAAGGGAAATTATTAATAAATCTCATGATATTGATGTCAATCATAAGTCCTTACTAGAAGGTGATGTTTTTAAATGGCACATAAATGGCTTAAGTTCCTTGATATTTTTTTTTCTTATTAAGATTAATGCTATGGCCTTCTAATTGATATTAATGAAATATATTCAACTAAGACAATTGGGACAGATAAATTTAGGGTCAATCAAGAAATCACATTAAAATAATATATCAATAAATATAAGAACAGACCAACAAACCTTAAAGAGTGGCCTCTCCATTGATGAACATCAGCAGAACTGCCTAAGAAAGACAATCTATGTTGTTCCATTGCTAGATTTTCAAAGTACCTCTTCATCGATGCTTCAACAGGAACTGATAAATTAGAACTTGAACTACTACACAACCTAATTTTGTCATACAAATCTCTCAACAAAGTAGAAGAGTAAATTAATTTGTTCCTGTAAAAAATAAATAATTAAGAAAATACAAATGAATATGCTTCAAGCAAAAAAAGAAATATAAATAAATCAATTTTATAAAAACAACAAAGCATGGAAGTAGGGTGCCGAGAAAAAATCTATTGCAATAATAACGCAAGAAAAAGAACTATATTAGTGGATTTTTTTTTAATGGAAATATTAATATTAATAAATTCTAAACATTCACAAAAACATAAACTAGTCACACTGCAAATGCCCAAAAATGTGACTAAAAGATATAACTCAAAGGTGTTATAGCAATGCATACCTCCAGTCCAACACCACATAAAAGTTTAAAAGAATGAAAAAGAGAAGAAAACAAATGTTGGAAAACAAGTCCAATTTAGTCATCTAAAGAACTATCTAATTCCCTTATCATACACCACAATTACACATTAGAAAGAAAGATTTTCTATATATATTATGGTTGTTGTTTTAATTCACCACTACCTGTTGAGAAGTTAAATTTCGTCCGTGACATACTGGAAAAGGAAAAAGAATGGAGTCAAATCCTTCCATTTTCATTTGCACAAGAGAAAGACCTCCTACTTTTTCCATAGAAAAAAGTATAAAACAACATAATTGATCTCTCTACACCTATAGGTGTCCTCTGAATAGAAAAATCAAATTTCCAATCACAAGAACTTAAATTATAGCAACAGAAAATTACTATAAGCAAGACCATGGAGCCAATAGTACACATTTACTCTAAAATACAATTTCATTTCTGAAACTAAATTAGGAAAGCATATTTATGAAGCTAAAATCTTTTGACTAGCTTACATGTTTTTACATCATATACACCAAACATTTTACTTCAAGAGGTTCAGTATTATCATCATGATTATAATCATCATTTTTGGAATCATCCCACAAATTTATTATGGAGTTTAGTCCCTTCCTATTCATTTGCAAAAGAGAAGGACCTTTTATTTTTTCCACAAGAAAAAAGATAGAACCAAGTAATTGATCTATATACACCTATGGGCGGGTGTCCTCTAAATAGGAAAATTAAATTTTTAATCACAGAAGTGTAGATTATAGCATCAATCAGTTACTAAAGGAAAGAGCACGAAGGAAATATTACACCTAATTTAAACTACAATGTAATTTATGAAATTCAATTTGTATACTAATTAAACTAAAATCTTTTGGATTAATTGCACGTTCTTGCATCCTAGATGTCACGCATTTTACTTCATGTGATCTCACTTTCATAATCAATATCATTATCATTTCTATTCTATGAATGTCAAACCCAATTCGAGTTGTTTTTAAGATTCCTACTTCACTATACATTTTTGTTAAGTGCAATATAAGACGTTAAATCTATTTTTGTGTGCCTTTTAATTAGACATATTACAATTGATTATCTCTTTCCTTCCTCATCCTCCAACATTAATTATAGCTATTCTCATTACTGGTCCATATGTCATATGAACATGCCCAAACAACACCATATTATTTTTCACTATTTTATCCTCAATAAGTGCCACTCATATCATATTTATAATACAATCATTTTTTACCCTATACTTTTCAATTTTACCACACAACATCATGATACTACTTCCACATTAATGTGTTTTATTTGTCCTAGATTCCACACTTACCTTTAGTCCATTACTTCAAACACTAAGGAGAGTTTTAACTAAGATTTCACTTCAATCTTGCCAATCAATATATTTTTGAGACAACTAAATCCTAATACATCTTAAATTACATTTTATGTGATATAGAAAATTTTATTAAATTTGATGGTGTGTGATTTACAAAACATAACCCTAACAATCACTTTGCCTATCTCACACTCTCCTACCTCTACTCTATCACTCCCACCATGGTCGCCTCTCCAACTTTCCTGCTGAGAAACGCTCATTCTATTGAGTTTCTTTTTCCTGCTGATTATGGCTCATGCTTCCCTCTTCTCAAGCTCTTATGTCACTACCAACTTTCTCCGGGCCTTTTTGCTAGTTCTCATTGTTCTCTCTATATTATGACTCTCCTTCAGAAATTTGTCCTCCTCTAACCTGCATGACTCTCGCTTCCTCCTTTGCCAATAGACCTAGCTCCTATATTACGTATTACTTTCTTCTTGCTCCTTTATTGTATTTTAGTCCCTAAATCAATATATTTGTTCCCAAATTCTCCATACTTATTGTCTTTGTGTTTCCTACTTGTGGCTTTATACAATATGTGTTACACTACTTCTCAATCCTACTCTTGATCAGCCCTTTGTTTGTTGAGCAACAAGCATTGACAAAGCTTCTTGCCACATGGATGTTATTTTTAATCATGACCAAAATATAATTGGGTGTGGAATATTCTTTATGGTCCCAACCAATGAGCTTTGTTGTAATTCATACAAAATAAAAAATATATATACATATATGATGTCTTTATATTTCAATCATGTTAGTAATCTATATTCTTTTTTTCTCAACAATATTTTTATAGCAATTTTTTTATTAAACTTAGTTGGCATCATACTAAGTTGTGCGTTTGTTGAAGGGGTTGAGGTTTTGATTATTATTTAGAAGAACAGATATGGATGCAATGACTTTGTATGATTTGTCAAGTTATAAAGGTTATATAAGCATGCATTATGCATGCTTTTTTGTTTGGTGACAATGTTTTGTCATTTGATTGAGAAATTCATGAAGATTAGTTAAGCCCGCTATTGATTGTTCGTGAAATTGTTCCCCGCTATAGTTAAAGATAAACTTTGCATGAAATTAAGATTAGATTTGCAAATATAGATATGTTAATTTGTGTCATCTCTTGAGTTTGATCTTCATTTTATCAACTCATGTCTTTTAACATAAAAAAGTTTAATTCACAACAATGAATAGTTATGTACAAATGATATAAGTGACAATGAGTCAACAAATTTTAAATCACAAGTAGATGCTTCTACACAATTGTTCTTAAAACATTACTCCTTTTTGCTATTCCCTCTAGCAATATGTTAAATTATACTGGTTATGTATGACATGATTGAATTATATTTCATGATGAGCCTCTCATGCATACATGTTGAAGAGAAATGTCTATGTTCTGCTATAATGTGTCAGATCATTCATGCTTATTATTAAGGATAAAAATGTGTAGTTTTTGATAAAATATGATCATCCTTTTCGTAATTATAAGTTGAATGGAGTTGTATAGGTTTCGCTACAATATTATGTACCGCATACAATTTTAACTATTAATTTTTTTAAAAGGTGAGAAAGTTATCCAGTGAAATGGCAGATATGAAGAAATTCCATGAGAAGAAAACATTTTGTCATGGTGGTTATAGCTCATAATCTTATGCATCAAAGAATGCATCAATAGTAACAATTTTACATACCAACCAATGGGACCCACTAGAGCATGCAAGTAGTCGAACAAGAATATTGTAGTGTTTGGTGAGTTGTTATGAGAGCAATATCTTTAGGGGAAGATAACTAATGTTTTCAGAGTTCCTTATACTGTAATATTGGTGCTCATAACTCATAACTCATAAGTAAGGTTTGATGCTCATTTCTGCATATAATCAGTTGTACGAAGGGAACTTAGGAGGAATCTGATTAATCATAGGACAGATGAACATGATTTTTGTGTTTTCGGCATTGGAGCACCTACTTTTGTTTCTTGTTGTTGTTTTGTTATTTTCAGGTACCCAACACACTATCTTACTTAGAAAGTGACCATATGGTTGCATGATTGGAAAGGTATTGAATTGTTAGTTTCAAATGTTGTTTTGATTACTTATTTTAAGAATACTTAGCTAAGTTTTTATCAAATTTTTACCTTATCAAAGACTATTATAAACAACTGGCTGGATTGTTTGACGTTATTAAAACTGACAGGGTTTCCAATCTTTTAAATTACAGAGAGTTTTTGCATTCTATTTTTTTTTAACAGATAAAAATCTGTCCCAAATAGTTTTATTTGGAATAAAGTTTGTCATAATTATCTTCTAAATGAATCAATTGAAACAGATAACAACTAGCATGATTTCCCAGTAAATGCTGCAAATGTCAAAAGTAAACTTAAAAATTTTCTTAATCGCCTGAAATCCAGTACCCTTTTACTTTCTACCTTCAAACTTCAAAGCATTGAATTTCTATCAAAGAAAAAAAAAACCTAGGTTTTGCATTCAGCACAGTACCGCAAGGTCATTTGGTACTTAGAAGAACAATGGAAAACAATGAATCAACACCCAAACATGGAAAGGTACCATGGCTTGCAGACGGCAGCACACCGGACAAGCTCTAAAGAATCTAGACGAGAGAAGATGATGCAAAGAAGATCGGCGCTAAGGGAGTGGATTGAGAAAGGAGAAGCAGCTGACGAGGACCCCCGCTTTCCGCTGCCCGGGGACGCGGTAAAGCCAGCGATCTTGCCGCTGCTAGATTCCATCTCTTAGCAACTGCTCTGCTCGTCCCCCGCTTTTCCGCGTAAGTTTTTTCTATTGCTTTTTTAGACTTTTACCTAAAAAATTTCAATTTAAATTGATGAAATTTTCTATGGGAATTGTTTTGCTCAAAATATTATAATAATTATGAGAGTCAAAATAAAATAACTATAACAATTTTTTTTATATTTTATTTGAAATAAAATATATTCAAAATTCTTGAACCCTCCCCCAATTATAATTATTATTAAGTGTTATTGTTCGTTATCAATAGTCTCCCCTGATCAATGTGGATGCTAAATGCCATCCGGAAATTAACGAGAATGTGCCATGGCACCCCTTCGCTCGATTCTGCAGCTCCGTATTGCTCGATATCGTTGATGTGGTGCATTCTGATTGGTCTGCGTCCGGTCTCCGCACAGAATAATTTCTCCCTCCATATGATTCCTACTACTCATAGGATATGTTTGGAATACTAATTGCATTTTATAAATAGTGATCGAGCTAAGCCCAAATTATTTTTTTTATGAAATTTCTCTCAACTTTTTCATTCAAATTTGAGACCGCGTTGGCAGTTTTTTCATAACCTTTTATGAAATCAAAATACCTATAACATATGGAATTGGTAACCAAATTAAATTTCACTTCATTAATCATTTCCGTGAAAATTGATTCTTCCATCTTAAAAGAAATTTAAAAAAGCATTAAAAGATTATTGATTTTGGTTAGTAAATATAATGATATCACTAATCTATATTAAATAAAATAGGAACATTACACAATCAAAATTGGATCTAATAGAAGGGCAACACTAAACAAGACAATGAAAGTCGTAATAAGAAATAAATATGTTTTACTACATATACATATATAATTTGAGATATCTACAACATCTTTTGACAATACACGACATAATAAAAGAAAGGTCAAGCCTTCAAAAATAAAAACAAAACAAAATATATTTACAGCATAGATTGGAACCTAATATTCAAAACTACTCAGCTCGCTCATTACTCTTTCCCCGACTTGAAAATAAAAGTAAAAATTAGAGTTATCTAACATGGCTCAGTTGCCTATCTCAATTTAAAATATGAATCAATAATTGAAACCAAAATAATTGAAAATATTGCGTTTTAATAATAATATGAAGTATTATATAAAAAATTGAAACTTAAATATATATTAACACTAAATGCATCTAATTAACCAATGAGTTATACATAAACTAAATATAAACAAATGTTTTATAGTAATTTTATTGAAAGACACCTATTAAAGTAAGTAATTGAATGATATGATTGATCAATAATGCTGGATTGGTTGATAGAAATGGATGGCAGATGGAATAAGAAAAACGCCACTTTAAAGTTGGATATCTTGCCTTGCTAAATTTTCAAATGATATGTGTGCCCACAATAATATACATATTTGATAACATACATAATTATATATATGTGAGCACTGCTAGGATTTGGGGCCACCTCCACCTTGAATGTCTTGCCTGCTCATGCCACCCTTAGGTGGCCTTCTATTGCTTTTTTTTTTTTGTCTTGCATTTCCGCTTCTCCATTTATTTTGTCATTATTTTCATCGTTTGATTTCCTCCTTCGGCTGTTTCGTCGGTCGGATGGCGGTTTCGTGTTTAAATGATCCAGGGTTAATTTCTCAATGTGAAATCATCGTGTTCTTTTTTGGATGTTGTATTTGGTTCTTCTTCCTCTAATGGGTTCCCTAAACTCAAATGTACCTCCCATCGCATATTGCCTTCGTTGTGGATCTCTGAAGTTGAAATCTTAGCCCTTGCAGCACCTTTTGAGTTTTCCTTAGTTGTGAAATTTCCCACCCATATGCCTTCTCTCGATTCAGTTAGGATGTTCTTTTTTCAATCTTAAGTTCATTTGGGATTTCTTTGCTACCCTTTTAAATCCCAAGCATATTTTGATTAAACTTGTTAATGGCTTGGATTACAGTCAGATTTTCTCCCATCACTCTTATTTTGTGAATAATTATTACATGAAACTCACCAAATGTTCGCTATTTTTTTATACCGATGTGGATTCCCCTGTTGTTCCAGTGTGAGTTTCCTTCCCTAATTCATGCCCCCCATCTCTTCTCTCCTCGGATTCTCCATGGCTTGGGTTCTTTGTTTGGTAAACCTTTGAAGATCGACAATGCCACCTACGTTGGCTTGAGGCCCTCTGTTGTCCACGTGTTAGTAGAGCTTGATGTCTCCAAATGGTTTCATGATCGTATTTAGCTTGATCTTGAAAAGTATGGTTATATTCAACATGTTTATATGAAGGTTTTTCCTTTTTTTTTTGTGACCATTGCAAGGCCTTGGGTCATTCGAGAGTGGATTGACATATTCTTCACCCTCAGGTAGCTAATATTTCTTTACCCTATCATGCTGATGTGGGTTCTAATCAGAAGGGTATTAATGTGAATGTAAAGGCTACAATTGACATTCCCCCTCTTACTCTTGTTCATGCTGATAGTAATACTTCTTTAGATAATTTCCATCATAAGGCTTATAGTCCTGTTATGGAGTGTCCAACTCCTATTCAGAGCCCTCTTCTGATTTTCATGGTAATGGTGGTGTTGGAATGGTGCTCGGGTGTGGGGAAGGTGATGTTGTTAGTGATGTTGGTATACGAGATGATGATCTTCCATTGGATAGGTGTGGCACTGAGCTTTTGTCTGAACATGTGCTTTCAACCCCTATTATTGTTGGTGATATTGCCTCATATAATTTAGGGGTTGTTATTGTTTCGGCTTTTCCTATTGACAATTTGGATCCTTAATCTATTGGTTTGGATATCAGATTGATGATATGATGGATGTGGTGTTATCAGGGTTTGGTTTCTCATTGATAATGTTGATTATGAGGCAAATCAAAATGTGGATGGTGGGTTTTGTCTAGTTAATGCTCTGGATAGGTTTAGCATAAATTGTGTGATGTTAACAAGATTGTTTTGGTTGAGTCCTCAGGCAATTTGAATGATACCATTCTTGTCTCACCTGTAGCTTTGGGGGTGCAGTTGACTCATGATTTGGAGGTTTTAAAGGGAAATGAGATTGTTTTTTATGTTCTTATTTTAGTTGTTTTTAATGTCGAATTGAAAGCTCAATTGGCATTAACTTTGAATAATGGTGATTCTTCATATTGTTTGGATGTTCTTTCTCCTCAGCGTGTGGGGGTACCAGGGGTGATTTAGTTGATAATGTGAATGAATTGCAAGAGATGTATGCTCTACAGGTGGGGCACATGGTACATGGGGCCTTCTCCCATGGCGGCAGAAAGCGTCGTAAGAGAAAATATAAGAAATAGTTTTTTGTTGGATCTCTCTTTTAGTTGTTGTGTTTTCTTTCCTCTAGTTGGTGTGTATTTCAGTTTTGGCCATGCTTTTGGTGTCTTGTATGTTGCGTTGAATTTGGGTTAGGAAAATGATGTGGCAAGTTTTTTTCATGCACCTTGGACGGCCTGCTTGGTTGGCAACCTAGGTGGTTACTTCTCTTTTAGATTTGGTGGATTTTGTTTCTTCAGGACCTGATGTACTTGAAACTTATATTGTTTCCTTCTTTTCCTCATTGGATGACTCGAGCCTGGCAACCAAGTAGCAGTCTGAGTCTAGTTGATTTATGGGGATGTAATTTTCTTCTTTGTTTTGCTCAGGTTATTTGGCCCTAAGAACTTATCTAGGTGCTTTCGTGTTGTTTGGCTTTCTCATTCTTCAGGTTCCACTCTTGGTTTCTCATGTTCTATCCGTTTAATTCTGTTTGATTATTGTAGTAGATTGAAACATTATGAGCTCATAGGTTTTCCTTCAAATGTTGTATTTTAACGAGTTTGTGCCCCTTTAAGCACTTGTAATCTTTTTTTTTTATTAATAAATAAAATATTTTCCAAAAAAAAAAAAAACTAATTATGTACATGATATGATTAGTTGTTAACTAATAGGACAAATAGAAGACTCATGATGCATAGCACACTGATATACACATAGAGATGGTATACATTAAACAAACTATTTTTACATGTGATTGACAATATTCGTGATAATTCAAATGCATAAGTACATTCATTGCAATGAACATCATTGATAATATTGTATGCAACACTACATTGTTTATCTTGATATAGAACAAATATTCATGATTCAAGTACATGATATTGATTTATGGATTTCTACATGGGTTTACAGATTGGTGATAATTTCTGAACTTTTCTTATTTACTGGTCATATTGATTTGTATTATTAGCGATTGATCATTATTCAACATGATAGTGGTTGATTATATAATTATTGAGATAAAACATGTGTCATGTGTATTGATTATTTTGTCTTGCATTGAATACAGTAGTAGGCTTTGATAACCTACTGAACTTTTTAGCTCATTATATAGTTTTTATTGAGTTTAGGTATATGAAGGGGTTAGGTCCCTGTTGAGTGAGGCTTTTCTAGGTTTTATTTTATTTATGTATTTTAGTTTATTCTTTTGTAGTCATGAGCATTTAAAAGGGTATATTAGTGTTTGATTTGATATGTTGTCTATTGTAAATTGAATTTTGAGAATTAAATATTTTAATAAATAAAAATGATTTGTAGTTGCTTATGCTGATTTTATTTAACTAAAGAAATTAGAAGTCATGATGGTCTAATTAAGTGATATAATAGATAATTCTTACAAAATTTGATCTTGGTGCGTGACAATTTTGACTTTTGAAGAAGGCGACGAACACAATGGGTTTGAAGAAGGCAAAGAAGCTTCATGTAGACAAAGATGAAATATCATTAAGTATGTTGGCTAATGAGGCTACAAACTGTCATTGCAATTTGTAAACTTTGGTTTTGACATATGATCAAAAGAGGTGACAAACAAAGCACCCTTCGGGTTCTAGTGATTTCGCAGACAACATCGATGTTGAGGTCAGAGGGTAAACACAAAGTTTTTAGGAAGCAACCTTTTAAGGGAAAAAATTGAAAAAAAAAAAAAAATTGCAAGTGAGGGGCCAATGCGGAAGTTCAAATTAGACATGAAACATATATATAATTCCCCACACCCTCCTATAAAGTTGATCGCCAAGTTATTATTAGGAAAGTAACTTGGCTCCTATGATTATAAAAAAATAATTTTACTTTACAAACAAAATTAAAAGAAAAAAATTGAAAAAACAATAAAATAAGTAATAGCGAAACTAGGGTTTCATTTGGGATGATTTTCTTCTTCTTAAATCAAGTTTTAGTACAATTTTTTTTTATTTTTATGCTAAAAAAACTGTTTTAAAAATCAATAAGAAAAGTAGAAAACCGTCCCAAATAAAGGCTAAGGCTACGTTTGGGACGGCTTTCTTTCTGCTTCTTAAAGCAGCTTTCCAGTACAAATATACTAAAAAGCTGCTTTAAGAAGTAGGAAAAAAAGTCGTCCCAAACGAAGCCTAAGTTTTGGTTGTCGTCTAAAAATCAAAGCGGCTAAAAAAGAGTTCCAAATAGGCTCGTAGTATGTAATCACCATTCGTCCATTATATATATATATATATATATATATATTTGTGTTAAAAAAATATTTTTGAAAGCAATAAAAAAATTATCATTAGCCTAAATAGTTCACACACACACATATACATATTATTTGATTAAGAAATTAGAATACCTCATTTTTTAAGATTGAGGATTGTTATGACCCAATTCCATATATAAATTTATTTGAGTACCATTAACTTTTACTTATGTTTATATATTTTAAAAAAATATCTCAAGATTTTCAAATATAATAATGAATTTAAAAATTATAATATTATATTTTAAAATATTAATTTCAAAATAAATATAATATTTTTTAAATTTATTTTAATATAATTGGTGTAAGTAATTTTTTTCTTATCTTTATATGAACAAATAAAATAGATTGCAGGCAACACATTCAATATTTCTAATCAACACGTCTACGACTTCCAATATTTATGGCTGACAAACGGGTGCTCGTTATATATCATAAGCTCTCTCACAAAATCGTAACGGCACAGTTTGACGGAAGCAACAGATATTCCTTTTATACTATATGAATAAAAAAGGATATTCCATTATTATTCCTTTTGTCAAAGAAAAAAAAGCTATAAGAAATTTCTCAGATTTTTTTAATATTTATTTTTAGCTACCAATTGCGTGAGAAATTGACGGAATTGCGCAATTCTACCCCCAAAATCTCTATAAATCAGGCTCGAGGAAGCCAAAGGAAGGTTTCAAGAGCAAGAGCGAGCAAATCTTCTCTTCTTCCTCTCTCCTCGAGGTCTCAAGCTCTCTCTTTATTGACTACTTTGCTCTTCCATCTAAACCCCTGTGATTCAAAGCGCAGCAACAGAGAAAACCAGCGGAGGCAGCGAAAGCATGGTGGAATCTTCTTCTTCATCGTCTTCGTCGTGCGACTCCTTCAGTTCTTTTGACGAAGTCAGCGTCAAGATCTGTAACACCGTCAAGTTCGTCTGCAGCCACGGCGGTCGTATCCTGCCACGTTATCCAGACGGAAGACTCCGTTACGTTGGCGGGGAGAATCGCGTTCTTACCGTCGATCGCACCATCCCCTTTTCAGGTCGGTCCGTTTTCCATTGGATTTATGACGAATCGATGGATGTTTTGGTATTTGTTGGATTTCAATCGATCTATTCAGATTTATGACTAGGGTTAGGGTTTGTGAACAGGGCTTCAGGTGAAGTTGGGGGAGCTGTGCGGATGGGAGAAGGTGAATCTGAGGTGTCAACTTCCGACGGAGGATCTCGATGCGCTCGTCTCCATAAGCTCCGATGAGGATCTTGCTAATCTTATAGAGGAGTACGATCTCGCAAGCCGGGACCGTCGATTTCCTATCAAGATCCGCGCCTTTCTCCACCCCACGGTTGCGAAATCTCGGAAATCTGTCACTCCACCGAGTACTCGCAATTCGCGGACGGTGCCCATGAATAAAGCTTCCTTCCAGTTACCCGCCGTCCACGCCGTCGTCGACCAGTGCGTTCACAAGGGTAGTTCACCGACGAAGAATTTCGTCCGTTTCGTTCGATCGGGCGACGTTCCCCGATTCCACGGCTACCCGATGAATGGATGCCCTGCGATGTCACGCCACCACTATCTGATCCATCAAGGCACCCGCTGCCCATAGCCGATCCCTGCCGGAATGGGAAGGATATAATTTTTGTTTTCGAGGTAAAGAAATTGAACGGAGGAGGATGAACAAAGAACAATCATTTGTGGAGAACTCCGAGGATTGTAATACGATTTTTTCTATTCAACAGAAACAATTTATAAAACTCAAAATTGATTCCATTAAAAACTCAAATCAGAAACCTCAGAAAAAAAAAACTTAATCAATTTCTCCAAAGCACTCGATCCGATTTCTTGTGATCACAGATCAATGATCAATTTACGCTGCGAGTTTTTCCATGGTTCCATGAACGATTAAAAACAGCTATTCGTCGTCAGCTTCGATTCTTATCACAATTTTATTTATTTTTCGTCTCCGGCGATCATCTCGAACTCTCGATTTGAATCCACTCCATTATTTCCGGTTCCGTTTTGATTTTGTCTTCTCTTTAAAATCATCATATTGTTAATTTTTCGCTTGTAATTACCACTCGGCTTTGTCTCAATTTGCTAATTTGTTTGTGCTTTTCTTTCCGTTTACGCTATCTTTATGAACGTTTAACGCTTTTTTAATCTTTCTGATTTGCAGGAAAATTATTGGAGGGAGTGGGAATATACATACCGAATGAATTCTTGGATTGCGAGTGCGAACAAATTTGACCAATAATACATTTACAAATTCATTGCTACAGAAGTTGACCAATAATTTACAGAACTAACATCTAAATATTTTTTGGTCGTTTGGGACGGCTTCGTGCAATTTATATATTTAATTAATTACAGCAATTAAAATAAAATATTATTCTAACAGATATGATAAACAAAGAGAGCATTTAAGTATATATATATATATGGAAAACTCTGATAGCCACGAAAAATAAGTAATATATTGGGAAATCAATTTAAGATCTTATGATAATAAATTATTTTCACAGTATTTGGAAATAAATTATTTTTATTTTTGGAAAATAATAGTAACTTGAAGAATAAAAAATAATGCAAGCATAATATTTATGATGAATCTAAAATGATTTACTTTGAGATATGAGGAATGCTAATATTTTAGATGAAACATTAATTTTAAAATAAATCAAATAATTTTTTAATTCATTTTATATAATCTGTGTAAGGATAAATTAATATTTTCTTTTTATAAATTTTGATGTTCATAAATAGATATAGTTATTTCATGCTATTTACATATCTAACATTAAAAATAATATTTATGTTGAATCTAAAAATGATTTACTTTGAGATATGAGGCATGCTAATACTTTAGATGAAATATTAATTTTAAAATAAATCAAATAATTTTTAAATTCATTTTTATATTATCTTTGTAAGGATAAATTAATATTTTCTTTTTATAAATTTTGATGTTCATAAATAGATATAGTTATTTCATGCTATTTACATATCTAACATCAAAAATAATATTTATGATGAATCTAAAAATGATTTACGTTGAGATATGTAGCATGCTAATATTTTAGATGAAATATTAATTTTAAAATGAATCAAATAATTTTTAAATTCATTTTTATATAATCTGTGTAAGGATAAATTAATATTTTCTTTTTATAAATTTTGATGTCATGAATAGATATAAATTTTATTTCATGTTATTTACATATCTAAATTTAAAAATTTTAATATGACATGCATACCACACAGAATAAATATGAGTGCATAGAATGAAATATCAAAGTTTATAGAGTGGTATGGGTGTTTAGAATGAAATATAGGGGTGATATATTTAATATTAAAATTTTATATGAGTGGTCTGAATGTAATATTAAAATTTTAGGTGTTTGATATGTAAATAGTATGAAATAAAGTGATATGTAGGTAAATCCCCCTAGTTAATTTAAAAAATTAATAGTGAGTAATTGAATTGAAATTTTGAATAATTAAATATATGAGTTTAGTAATTGCATTTAAAAGGATATTAATCAAATATATAAAACCATTACAATTTTTTTTTAAATCCTAATAATAAGACTATATCATCGTGCGGTCAGTGAAAGGATGTGTAGTTTAGTGGTTATTGAAGAATGCTATTTATAAGATAATAATTTTGAGCCACATATTTTAAATCCGTGGTTCATTTTTAAAAAATATATATATAGACAATAATATCACATTTAATTTTTTTGAATAATCAACTTCATTATTTTAAGAACTTAAGTTTTGTTTGGAACAACTTTTTATAATACTTTTTAAAATAGTTAAAAAAAATTGTACTAAAAATTGCTTTAAGAAGAAGTAAGAAAGTTGTCCCAAATGAAGCCTTTTAATCATTAATAATCAGATTCATAAATACTAAGATTTCGTTAATAATAAAGATTAGTGAATATGTTTATATTTTAAAATAAATAATTATCAATCAAATAGAATAAATTCAGTATCATTATAAATTATGTTGAAACCAACACAATGAATTATAAACTTTATTGAAATCAACATCATTTCAAATCATAAAATAAAAAATATTTATATTTCCTTCAATTCCTTTCATTCAGACATATCCCTTGCAGTTCTTCTCTTATTTCCAGAATCTTCATGAGGTAAAAACAGTTGTTGCAACTTGTAGATTTAACAAAAGTATATTTAATAGAACAAATTTGCGTCAGCATATCTTGAGGCTTAAAAATTCTTGAATTTACATTAAGAGTAGTATTATTTTTTTATAATTATACTAATCTCAATGCAGATTAAGGATTCGTTTGGGATGACTTTTTTATTGCTTATTAAAGCAACTTTTTAGTATACAATTTTTTAATTTTAAATTAAAAAGTTTTTTTAAGAAGCAATAAAAAAGACATCTCAAATGAAGCCTAAGGCTTTCTTCGACATGGCTTTCTTATTGTCTCTTAAAACAGTTTTTTAGTACAAAATTTCAATTATACTAAAAAGTTGTTTTAAAAAATAGTAAGAAAGACTTCACAATTGAAGTCTAAAGCATAAATTATGATGGGAGATTCAATTTATTAGCTTTTTAATAAAAAAAATATTGTAAAATTTTTAGGGACTTTTAGGTGAATTAAACCTAAACTCACACACAATTCACATAAAAGCTTCAAACTCAAGACCTATTAATTGATAGTCTAGCTTCATTTGGAACGGCTTTTTTAATGACTTATTGAAGCATCTTTTTAGCATTAAAAAATAAAATTTTTGTACTTGAAAGTAAAAAAACTGTCCCAAACAAAGCCTAGCCTAAACTCTTAATCAACGGATCAAGTTGGACTGCATAAAATTTCGAAAATGATCTATAATTTCAAAAAAGATCTGATGGTGGCCTTGCGGCTGAGTTGAGTAATAAGAGAGATTATTAGGTGTGTAGTGTGGACAGGGAGAACCGTCTGCACAAGTATTGGGTACCTAGCTAGGAATCACTCGGTACCGTTGGGTACCGTTGGGTATCGCTAGGTATTCAAAACTTGTGCGGACGGTGTGCACTCCGTACCTAATAATTTTTTGAGTAAATGAGCCTAAGAAAAAAAAAATAAAAGGTGGTTTTTTGTGTGTATTTGGCGCAGAGGAGACGCGTGTGTTTTAACGTCCAATTTGTTTAGGATGAACATGTTTAAAAGATAATGTATAATAGTATATAACGAAATATAATACACAATCCGACTCTCCTTTTATGCGACATATCGGCATATCAAACACCTAACAATCGCATACAGAGGTTTGGAAATGAAAAAGAAATAGTCTATATTTTAGAGTTTGAAAATAACATCCATCCAAAAGTTGCCCATCTTTGAATAATTCTACTTCTATAAAATAAATGGATAAATCTTAATTAGAGTTGTCAATAGATGACATAACTTGTGAATCAGATTCGAACCCAACACGAAAATTTGGATTTGGGTTGAATTAAATGGGTCAACTAGAACCTGGATTATGCTGATCAAATTTGACTTGATTGAATTCATGTCGGGTCAATCTAGGATTGTATTCGAATATGACGCGCTTGACATCCCTAACCAAAATGCCCTCGATATAAGCATCTGGTCGAGAGGGGTTCTCAATATTTTTGAAATATGTATATGCAAAAAATTTGTCATGAAATATTGATATGTTTTATATTAAAATGAATATATATATATATTATGTATGATAATTTAATTATATTTATTTTTATTATACAAACATTAAAATTTTGAAAGAAAAAAAGAAGCTAGGATATCTTGGTCAAAATCAGAATGGGGCTCAAAATTTTCGTGTATGTTTAAATAATAATACAATATATAAGTAATTAATTTTGCATAATTTTCAAAAAAAGTTCTGTTTAGGTATTTCATCTCATATTATATTTATATCATGATTATATTTGTGAATATTTAATAATTTAATTTTAGAACAAGGTTCAAATTTTTCGGGAATGTTTAAATAATAATACAATATATATGTAATTAATTTTGCTTAAATTTCATATAAACTTCTTTTTAGGCATTTCATCTCATATTATATTTATATCATGATTATATTTGTGAATATTTAATAATTTAATTACATTGCATATTAATTTAATTATGTTATTTGCAAGAAAATAAATTAACTAGTAGAATTTTATCGAAGAAAGGGTAGAATAATGTGAATATTTTTATGACATAGAGTAGAATCAGATGAGAGATTTTCCCTTAAGAATTGTGAGGAGGACATGGCAAAGTACTGTATCAAAAGCTTGTTAATGAGCATAATGGTCCTATATAAGCTTCATTTGGGATGGCTTTTTTGTTGCTTCTTAAAGCAGCTTTTTAGTTAAAAAATAAAAAATTTGTACTAAAAAACTGCTTTAAAAAACAACAAGAAAATTATCCCAAATAAAGGCATAGGTTTCGTTTGGGACGGCTTTTTTATTGCTTTCTAAAACGGAGTTTTAGCACAAAAATAAAAAAATGTGTACTAAAACTCCGTTTTAAAAAACAATAAAGAAGCCGTCCCAAGCGAAGCCATAGTCAATATGCCCATAGGCCTCATATGGAATTTGAAGCAACTTTTTCATCGGTAAATAGGATGCTAAAAATTCAAATCTGTTAGGGTTGAAAATTCTTGAAAGCTAGAATAAAGGATAAGTTGGTCTCCTTCCTTAAATGAAATTCTTGAAATTGAATATCCTCATCAATTTTTTATCGTGATGGATCCAAAACATTTTGACTTTACGTCAAGATAAATAAAGTGCATAAAAAATAATCAAAATTTGCATCATA